CGTAATTTTATTCTCGCCGGTTGGGTATGTAGGTCTTACCTATGTACGCGTTTCGAAATTTTAATCAACTTTTACGTAGACCACCATAAACATAAGGAATCCTTCTTGTGTTTAGATACTAGAAAACATGAGAACCTTAATTTTTTTTATTTCTAATTGAGAAGAGCTTTAGTCACAAACAAACTTAACGTCGAAGTCATAAACAAAAGCACAAAGAAAGGAAAATGACACAACAACTTACATAGAGCAGCTATGAAAGTGTTAATTGATAAACTTGTATTGAAAGGACACTGATCACCAGTAAACATCGCGTTTTAACAGTCATTAGAGTTGACTACTATAAGTATCGAGTACATTCACTGAGTGAGTTTACACAGTCCGGGCGATGTTATGGTGCGTCAAGGCACACGTGTGGCGAGGGCACGTGCAGATTCCACAGTGAGCCACTGAGCGTTCCAGGCGAATGCTCCTGCACTTGACTCAGCCACCAACAAACACGGACCGACCCATCCTGCCTCCATTGATACAATCGAATAAATAGAGCATCTCCACACATACGGCTTACTGGCATACACTCATTATTGTCATTATCATTGCATCACAACGCCGTCATTGTGTACATTACCTGAATGTTTTCTTACTGATTAAACTATTGTTAATTCCCTTATAATTATAGATTTTTTATTGCAAATAAGCGTAGTCACCGTACTAGATAAGAACACATAGTAATACAATCTTTCAATTAGATGGACTCGAGGCGGACTCAAACTGTACAAAATTAGTAAATGCATAGATCTCCCCAATCTTCGCCAATTTGCAGTGTCACCATTAAGCGTGACCCCGTTTCAATTTATATTCTGAGTAAAAAGCAATAAAACTTACGGTATTGGATTCTAAACTTGTGTTGTTCTAGTTTCTATCCATAGAATAGTTAATTGCTATTATCTGTTTTCATGGGGCATTGTTCGCCGCTGCGAGCGTGACAAGTGCTTCCGCCAAGTTCATTGTCGCACCAGCATGTCGTTTGTCGCATTCGTGCCCCCCTGTGACCCCGTCCTTATTAAACTTTCATATACTTACATTTAATTCAGAATAATTAATATCCTTCATCATACTAAATAATCACATGAACCAATAGAACTTTTAGACAGGGGTAAAGACTGGATGAAATTAGGCTCACTGATAGGTACCATTCCAAAGCCAGCTAGAAATAGATAGATACATAAATAAACATAAGAGAATGCAGCTTGAACACCTAGAACTAGCAATTTACTTGATAAAATATTAAACCTAAGCGTTTCCTAGCAATTAAAGTAGGAATAGCGGACACATTTCTTATCTTCTATGTTAATCCTCTCAAGTTATACTAGGAGAGCAGTTAATATAACTAGTTTAGTCACGAGGGAGCCAAGATACTTCCTTTATTTATATGGATTGGACATATAGGAATTATAGGATCATATTAAAAACCAATATCTTTAGTAGGAGTTTCATTTCATATCTGGCTATAACCTAATTATAGCTGTAAACATTTTTATGACGAGGTTAATATGTTTAGGTAGTTGTTTTATATAGGTACTTAACATACCTAAATACTTTGACATAATGCGCTGACGCATGCTTTAACAAGTATTTATTTGTGTTTTAGTGACCGTTAATTAAGTAACTAACGAAGTGTAGTTAGTGAAATTAATACATAAAAGAGATCTGAAAACATACAAAAAATTTAGTAAATAATAATCATATTTTTTCTATTATCCCATATTACTATAGTTGTAATACCTAGGTTTCTCTGACCACGAATCTACTAAACCTGGAATAAAAATTTGTGTGGCACAGAGAACACTAATAAAAAGTGTTAATTGGAGCAAACTAAAATAATGAGGATATAATGATGACGCCCATATCACGTCAACACTTGATTAATTGCAAGGTTGTCGCGTTATTTGCCACTTGAAACATAAAAAGTTTGTTTAACACTATTAATAAATGGAACAATGGAAAATTACATTTTTTGCAACATTAGCTTTGCACTACCTGTCTAATATTTAGATAGGTATGTGAGAGAAAGTCCATCAAATTAAGGAGATAGCTGATTTTATGTATTCTTGTCTTCATCATTATTAACTAGAAGACGTCTACAGCTGAATAAACAAAGGTGTAATGAATTCGAATACCCGCATTTTTAGACGATGTCCCTGACCTAGGTCAACGACAAACATCCAACACTTAATGAAGGCTAAAAGGTTACTCAATGTCAAAATATTAACACAAATTCCTCTATATAAACCAAAAAATCCATGTTCCTTATTCAACCACATTTCGTTGTGCAACATCAGACTGAGTTAGTAAATTAAGACGACAATAAATCCCACATCCAAATCTCTTGCAGCCGGTAGCCAGTGTAGTGCCCTCTCGACTCGAGCACATGTCAATTGCGTGAATTGGTTTAAATTACCAGTGAACACAAAAATCTAAATATAGATGATACAACTGAAATAAGGATAAAGTCAGAGTAATTAATGAAACATCACTTAATAGCAATGATCGTTTTTCTAGGAATCATTTTCGGCGCAACAATATAATCTAGTAGGTGTTGATTCCATTGAACTTAGATAGGTACCAAACCTACCAAAACCAAGAAACTTATTTACTTTAAATTAAAATTAGTGCCTCACTTTTATAGATAAGTACTATTTTGTGACAGGACGGCAACCGTGCAGACTGATTACCAGCAGAAGAGTCACGAATGCGTTGCAGGCTTTTTGTGGATTAGAGTTCGAGAGTAAGTCCGAGATTTAAAAAATACGGAATGGTCGCTTACACGGCGAAACATAACGCTGTGGTTGTTTCTCGCCGGTTTTCTGCGAAGCCATGGTATACATCCAATAGGTACCTATTTTTTCAGCAACAGTTAAGTTGAAATTTCATACATTCCGAAGTGGACGAAAACCACCTGATCGTAGTAATGATAATGAAAGAAGTCTTCATTGAAACTGATTTCGTTCTAGGACTTTGCAAATATCTAAAAGGGAAATTCCCTTTAAAATAATTATAATAAATTATACAACTTCGAACTATCTCCTTAACCGCAAATTATTCATTTATTGGCGGTTGAATTACGTTTATTAATAATTAATTATTCTTGAGTAAGATTTATAATATTTCCTTTATCGGAGTGACGAACACAGTTGGACGTCCCGGCGATATCAATTGCTATGTTATTCCCGATGACTATTGGTAAGAAATAAATACTAAGAATAGAGTACTTGAGTCGGTAGATTTACCTAAAGACAATATTTTTTTTACTATCCAAGTGTCCAACATGAGCGCCGTTCTTTATCTCAAGATGCTAGACATGGCACAATAGAATTCGATTCATACCTACTCCCACTAACTTACCATCTTACCTATTTTTTTTTAAAGTTGGATCATACATCCGATGAATAACTAATGTCGTGGTGGCCCGGAGGTTAAGGAGCCCGCTTCTCATGATGAGGGTGTGGGTTCGAAACCTGGCAAGTACCAATGTGACTTTTTCCGAGTTATATGTACTTTCTTTGATTATTTAGACACCACTGACATACGGTGAAGGTAAACATTGTAAGGAAACCTGGACTTATAATTTCTAATTATAAGTTTAAAATCGCCAACCCGTATTGAGCAAGCGTGGTGATTAATGCTCTAACCTTCTCCGTATGAGAAGAGGCATTTACTCAGCAGTGGGCACTTATAGGCTGATGATGATGATGATGATGATGACTGTGATTCCTGGATGAGGCGAGAATCAGACTCGTAGTGGTAATTTTGCTCCGAGCTGGGCCATCATTGCGCCTACAACTGCAACCCCTAGTACTTGCACCCACAACTCCAAATACTTAGGGACATATCCAAGGACCCGATTCTGGTGCTCAAATAAAGCAACTCTTTCCATGGGACCAATATCGAAATCTCAAAAATAAAATTTCCCCATATACCTAAATTGCAACATCATTTTGTATGTAGATTTTTTTTTAAGATTTCTATATTGGTTCATTTTCCATAAAAGGGATGTTTTATTTAAGCACCAGAATAGGGTCCGAAATTTTCTCTCTTTAATTTAGTCTCTTTCAAAATAACACCTACAGGGTGTTATTTTGAAAGAGGGACATACTAAAATCTATACAATAAATACTGACAAGCTGTTTATAATTTACGACCAAAGATTTCAAAGTAGTGTCCCACAAATCATCGATAAAACGGACAAGGACTTTCATACGCCACTTTCCCTACTCGGCAAATCGATCACCGGATCCTGCGCATACCAATCGCAGTACAAACGTCACCTAATTTTCTTTAATTGTCCCGAGACAATGAAGCATCGACGGTGGCATTACTATTCAGTACCGGTACGCATACGGTACCGTGAGTAGCATTGTCAACATATTATGAGGTCTCGGTCTTTGATTCCAAATCCTTTACGGAGAAAGTAGAATTTCACCAAAAAGTATGTAAGAACCTATTGCACAATTCAACTAATTTGTACGCGTATCGCTTTCGAGTTATTCCAAGGTGCGCTGAAATTTACTATTTATAGTTATGTAATTTATGTCACAATCACTATGCACGAAGAAATCTCAATAGGTAGTTAATTATAAGTATTTTTTCGTAATTCCTGTAAGTTATTAACCAAACAATATAAAATAACAAAATTACAGAAGTCATAGGTAATTCAAAAATATATGAATTAACTACTTATTAGTAGTACCTACCTTTGAACATAGTAGCTACATTAGCATCATCTAATCTACAGATCTATAGCTCCATATATGCACACATACACAAGTATAATAACAATATTTTTATTTAACTTATAATCACAATAAATAAACTATCTACAGTAATAATTTAAATAAATAGAAGACTTGAGTCAGACTAATTTCAATGGCACCTGCTTTATCAGTCCAATGTATCAGTGATCGGTGTCAGTGATGAGTTGCTGACACCGCGATGCCAGATTACTATGAAGATTGTCCCCTGAAAGTAAAACAATAAATACTTATTCATACTCAAACTAAGTTTATTTTTCTTCACACTAACGCCAACCACCAATAATAAAAGGCCTTTTTTCCCATGGTAAAAATTGTCATTGAGCCCTGGGACTAAAGGAACAATGAAACATTGACTCCTCACCACCCCAGACCATATACCTCACACTCAACTCGTGGACTCGAGGGACATGAAGCAAATTATCCCGGCAGTTATCATTAAAGGCGAATTTAAACCTTATCGTTTTAATAAAGTTCAAAACTTTCCCTAAAAGTTTTGTGCAGGTGATAATGTTTGTTAAGTAAAGATAATTATAGGTATATGAACAAAGCTATTGGCTACTGAACCCCGTATTTGTATGTCGAAATGCGAAAATCTCCAAAACTACTGAACAGAATTCATTCGGTTTTCTCCAATCGGAGAACGATTTCAGGGAGCATGGTTATATTATTTTTATTAACATTGGTGAAACCGAGCAAGCAGACCGGCACTTTAGGTAGTAAAATAAACAAATAATGTCTAGAGGAAAAATATATAAAACGAAGCATAATATTATATCTGTGATATTATTATGCACCTACCTATTTTTTTACCAATGTTGTTAGTATTAAATTAACAATCACAGATAGGTATGTTATTTTCACACGAGGGAGAAGATGGCACGGGGAAGTAATCGAACCCGAGTTCCCTTTCTGTTCGTCAGGGAGCATCGTAATGAATTAAGGATATACATATGGCGTGTGTTAATTAAATTGATCACAAGATTAACTTACCTAAAATAGGGTTGGAATTCGTAAATATCATCGACCACCCTGCGCACGCGGCACGTGACGCTACAGTTGGCCTGTTGCCGCCCGTACACGGTGATGGCTCGTTCCACAAACTGTTGCACTGATGTCAACTCCACCACTATGATGCGAAAGGATAAATTACTTAGTAAATGTATTTTTGCAAACAAACTAGTACCTACCCACATGTAGGTACTTACAACATTTTGAAAATTCTTTTGTTTTAAGGATTAACATTTAAGTTAACTATCGATGAGGTAGGTAAGCTCTAGGTACTCTTTATAGGGTTAGTCGCGTAGGTTCTCATTTATCGATAACTTCCTAAACATACACAATAATACGCATAATACCTACGTGAATGTTTATGACATTGAAATTAGAAATCGAAGTTACTTACTTTTATTGTCACCAAAGCTTCGCTCGTCCTCGTCAGTGCCACCTCCGTCAGTAGGGCCTTTCTTAAATGAGATCAGCTTCGGAATCACCAGTAACATGCAAACAACTGCGAGCATAGTCACGAGCTTCTTAAATATCAAAAATTTCAGTAGTAACTTCGCAATGGTCAAAATGTCCAATTTGAATGCCAGTTTGTCTAAAAACCCTAATGCAGGTGCCGTGTAAGGAACTCCATAAGATGGCTTCAGAGGCGGGCCGTATATTGGTGGTGGCAAAGGTTTGTGAATCGGTGGCCCGTAAGTCTGCGCTGGGGGTCCGTACATCTGCGCTGGAGGTCCATAAGACTGAGCCGGGGGCCCGTAGCTATGTGCTGGCGGTCCATAGGTAGGGGCAGGTGGGCCGTATGTGTTTGGAGGAGCGTTGTATGTAATTTCTGGTTCAAATTTCACAGGGGATCCGTAACTAGGTGATGGAGAATAGCTGTTGGACGCAGAAGGGCCGGAGTATCCTGATGATCCAGAAGAGCTAAAACTGCTGTCACTTGAAAACGGCGGCGAGTAATCGTATCCAGATTGATAACTGTCGTCACGGTTTGATATCTTCTTCTCGCCATCTTTAGCTGTTATAATCACAACACCTTGTTTCGCCTTCTCTGCTTCAATGCGAGATTTAGAATAAGCATCTAAATACGAATCAGTCTTTGATAATGTTGATTTTGTCGCGTTTGATGGTCCCACAATAGCAGAAACGCTCGCGCTGAGCGCTAATATAACAGCGAAATATTTGAAGATCGCCATCTCGGAGCTAATCCTCAGTTTACCGGACGAAAGAAGTTGTCGCCATCGATCGCAAGTAACGAATGACAAGCGAGGTTGACTTCCATTCAGTTTTCACTTTTGACTTACCGTAAAAGAACCTAAATATGATAATGGAACACAATTAAATTCTCTGAGTGAGCCCAGTGCGTTCCGCATTGCTCATGGTAAGTAGGTGCGCGTGTGTCACGGCTCGCATGCTAATGGACGTTAGAGACCGCGCGCTCCCCGGCGGCGAGCCTTGTTGGATGAGCCTCCCCAAACATCGGGACCTTTCATCGCATAAAGAAATCTTTAATAGACCGCAATTTGTCTGTGAAAGTTTTATTGTGGTTTTTATCGTCCATATCGCAAAAACATGTTACTTAAACGGGTATGATATGATATTTTTACGCAATATGACTTGATGATACTTGATGACAACCTCCCCTTTGTGCATGACCAGCGAAGAGAAAATATTTTTATTTTCGTCTTTAAAATAAAATTTATACCTAATCAAGAAGATACTTCAAAATATTAATCCACTTAAGTCTCAAAAGAACACAATTTCTCATACTTACTTTCAGAATAGGTACTATTAAGTACTTAATTGTAACAGCATTAATACATTCAGAACATTAGGCTAAAGGTTAATACAAGGTAAATAAGAGTAGCGATTCATTACAGTGTGCACATCATGCACTGCGTGCATTGATACAAACCTAGCATTAACACGACAGGTCAAACAAACAGCTATTATGTCTCTGCTTTTATTAGGTGCTGTGTATGCGATAGCGATTTCGATGGATTTATATGAGACTAAAAATGTCAACGTAGTCTTTTTTAAGTAGGCACGCCAGTTATAACTTATATTTTGATAGTCCAAAATTTATTTAGGCCTATTGATCTAAAAGCTGTATTATTCTAGAAAAACATACTTAGGTATGTATGCAATTTTGTTTAACTTCCAAAGCACGGTGTACAATGAATTTTGGCAACATTTCCGACAAGCGGACATTGGACATGTTGGGAAGGAATCCAAAATGATAAAATACAAGTTGTATGGTAAAACATACGACGACAATTGTATTTAAATAGTTGCCGATTTCTACTGATCAGCAATGCACACGTGTGTCATTTTCACTTGCTAAGTTAAAGAAAACTAAAGACCTTTTCAGTTTACTAAACTGTGCACATTTTCATATTCGTGGTTGCAATAGCAATACATACCAGCATATCTTGCTCACAATGAATAATAATTTATAATAATATAAACCAATATAAATTTATAATATAAAATAATAAGGGATGAACAATATAAAGTAAGTATACTGTAGGTACCAATTTATTATTTTAATCTTTTACCTTTTGAGGGATGACCGAAATTTCATATACCAAAAAGCTTTTTTTAGTGGCCCCAAATTCATTTAAAGTGTTGAAAAATCAGAAGAGAGGTAGGTACCTAATCAGCAATAATTCAATCAATTCATTAATTGTAAAGTTACATGACAACACAACAACAATGAGAGGGTAGAAGATTCAATTTGATAATAGGTACTAGGTATGTACCTACATTCGATTCCACAGGTTGAGGGTGGATGTTTGTATAAGTAGGTAAATATGCTGCCACAGAGACTACTGAATGGATTTTAATGAGGGGAAAATTTATTTATAATACTTTTCACATGTATCGGTAATTCGGATAAAACCGCAATTCGGTACGAAATGGTTTCTTTACCCGAACAGGGCATCAAGTGAATTCAACATCTTGTATAAAATTGTATAAGTGAAACAGGTGTAGTCCATGTAATATTGGTTGAATTATTTAAGGTCGTCATTTAACGTTGGCGCCAATTTGAATGCATTGTCTGAATGAGAATGGATAGTGCGAATGCAACAACATAGTACTGTAAATAGAATGGAAAATTCGAAAGGAAATCTTATTGTATAACCATTTAATGTACATTATTTTTCTATTTAAAAACCCTACTTGTGCCATTTTCTCTTAGAACAATGCAAGACAATAACACTACATTGAAAAAAATATCTAATAAGAAAATTCAAAGTAAGAATAAAAAAATCAAAATAAAATGCTATATTATTTATTCTTATGTATAAAAATATCATTCAAAAGGATTACCAACGCACAAATGTCTTTCTTCAAAGAACTTATGTCGTTTTCTAGGTTTGTCCTCATCAGGCTTAGCAAAAAATGAACTGATTGATTTGGTGTTAGTCTTCTTAGAGCCTGGCTCGTCTATATCCTCGAAAGTGCAGGTGGCAGCTTTCTCCTGTAGCATCAGTTCAGCTGTAGACCAACTAAACCTCACTAACATTGGGTATCCAAACACATGGTCTATTTGCTCACGAATAAACTTCTTTGTTACTGGATCTGAAATAACAAAGACATGCTTTGCATTACATTACAGATATAGTTTGTGTGCCTCTTTGAACATTGAGTGATCATAATTCCAATTACCGAGGAAAGGACCCCAAATCAAGAAAAATGATCCCATGAACTTTCAATATGACTTTTATCAATTTACCTCTATATTTATTAATGACAAATGGTGAACAAACATGTTGTGAAGAGACCTGGGGTTGTTTTTCAAGTAAGAAGTTTTTAATTACTAAAAGGCATTCAGCAAGCATTATGATTAATACTCGAAACCTTCAAATTGTGAGGCAAGGCCTTAGCTCAGCTGGATGAAGTCATAGTCATAGGCTATAACAATACATTTGCTATTGCAGGGTCTGTCATGAATTTTTTATTCTCACAACATATTTATGTTACAATGAGTAAAACCTGGGTTACATTCTCTGTATTTATATTTACCTCCTGGATATCCACTTCCAAATCCTGCCTGATCTATTTCCAATCCTTCAAGGAATTTCCATACCTTCAAGGCATGATCTCTAGTTACCTTGGCGACAATACTGGCTGCAGATACTATTGGGTACAATGAATCAGCTTTCTTTGCTACCTAAAGTAGAGTAGTAGGAGAGTATTAATATTTTATAATTAACATGGCATTACAACTTGACTGCCAGTATACATATAAGACACAATAGAATATGCATTGTATCTTATGTAGACCTGCATTTCGGCTTACCACAAGTTAATATACTTATATATGTTTTTATTCTCATTTTTAAGGGCTTTATTGCTGTGGCTTATTAATTAAGTTGATATATAAGTGAAAAGTTAATATACTTAATATTCCTTCTTGTTTATTTAAGTACCTTGGTACATACATAATTAAACATAAAGATATCATCATCTTCTCTGAATTTCTCTTTTGTTTTGGAATACCTGAGAGATTGTGTTCTACACAGCAAACTTAATATTATTATGAAACAATAATTTGTGGTACATAATATTTAACAGGTTACAATATTAACTTACAGTTATTTTGTAATTGGGGAATATTTCAGATAACTTTGCTTGGTACTTTTCTGGCGGACCAACCGTGTCTACATACACTTCTGTTATATTTGCACCACCCTCAGCTGCCTTCTTTATTAATCCAATAGCAGAGTTCATTGACACCTGGAAAATATTTTAACCAATAAAATTTCAACATTGAAAAAATAGAACTCAAATTTATGGTAAACAAATTATTAGTTTTGAGTTCTTCAAATTAAACTAAGATTATACATGAAGTAAAAATTATTGCAATCAGTACTTCAAGTGTGTATCACTTGAAAATAGAATAATAGTAAAGTAGAAAATCTGTGTCAAAGTTCACTGGACAGGAAAAGATATACCCACCTCATTCAAAGAATGTTTAGCACGTCTATACATAGAATTAGAAATGTAATTTGGAGAAATAACTTCAGCAATCCATCCAACATTGTTCAGGGAATCTTCCTCAGATATCATTTTAGTAAATATGTCATCACGTTTTTCTTCAGTCAAAGCTTTTGAATCAGCACACCCAAGATCTTGTAGTACTTTGGTTTGGTTTACAGGGCAATAAGCTATTCCATATACCATTGGACCTAGACAAAATAAAATATTAAAAATAATCCATAATGAAAGGGCATTCTAGCTGAATAGTATTATGTTTGTCATTATGCTTTTGGGATGGCATTAATGACTTCACCGGAACAGGGTTAGCCATGGGGGAGTTTCAGACTCTTACTGACCAAAAACGTAAGTTACTTCTACTGCTCTGGGCCGAGGTCGCGATGCCTCATTGCGTTTACTCCCATAAGGATTTATTAGGTGCTCCTTGTTAGATATATATAAACGAACGAAACACAAATATTACTTTACTTGTATTAAAGAAAATAATATAGTTAATAAGACTTTCTTTACCTAAAACAGGTCCTCGTCCAGCTTCATCAACGCCAAGCATACATGGTTCAGTTTTACATATATCAGGAACAATAGATGAGTTAGTAAAATTTGTAAAATTATCTTTCGATTTTATGAAATCTTGAAGTTCTCGCAATGATTTAATCATTTTGAATGATTTCAGTAAGCCAATTTAAAAAAGTAGGTAAGTAGGTAAAGTGTGGTAGTTTTTGAATAAAATAAATAAATAAACAAACAATTTCTACACTTTAACAAAATTTTGTAGTCATACAATCATTGCTTTACTCCTTCGTCCTTCCTGTTGTTTCATTTCGCGCCATGCCACTTTTAAATGATGACAGTGACATTTTGATATTTTTAATAACAACCAAAACCTACATGACATCAGGCCTTTTAACACGTAGACACAAATTGAAATGGTTTTAGTACATAGCTTAGCTAGTTATAAATAATTAGGGTTATTTACAGCTGACGCGATAACTAGGCAACCGTTCGACTCCCGCACAGAAACAATTGTTTGATCTACAAATTATTGTTCCAGATTTATATATGAAATTGCACCCCACGACACAGAAGTATTCGGACTTCGAAATCCTAGTTTGAGTTAGAGTAAAATTTCCGTCTTCTAAAAACTTCAATCATAAAGTACTAAACCTTAGAGCATTAAATTACATAGCACGTACACATAAATATTTCAGGAACTTATAGTGGCTCTAAAAAAAACTGCAATAAATATGAAGGTGTGGGTAACACAGATGTATAAACCATCGGCAGACTAATGGAATAAGGTCAGTAGGTAGTAGAATAAAGGACGTAATATGTATACACTACAGGTTTATTATTAGGTACCTAAAGAGCGCCAACATCTAAGAATATGATTACAATAAATTTGTGTATGATTTAAATCAAGTCTATATAATATCAACATTGAAATGCAATCAGATGATAAAATATTGGCATTTAATTTTATACCTAGTTTCAATTATAAAAATCCGTATAATGAATTCTTCAACTTTCAAGTATTTTATAAGTATTATACACACCTATATGCCCACAAATATTATATAAACATGTGTATATTATTTATACACATCATATTATATTTTTGTATATTATATGTTTGTATGTAGTAAGAAGTAAAAGAACAAGATAGTAAGTAAGTAAGTAAGTAAGTATATAATTTATTTGCATAAAACACGGTATAGAAGTGGTGTTATACATAATAATGAAAAGTACAATCGTGTTTCACTAAAAAAGCATGCAAAATTTAAAAATTAAGTAAATTAATATAAGTAGCTTAATAATAACCATAACATATTAAAACTTATGCTCCATGAATTGTTTTAAACTATAGAAGTTACATTTATTTAACAGCTTATACAATTCAGACTTAAATACATTTTTATTTATTTCTTTTAATTGACATGGTAACTTATTGAAAATTCGAACACACATCGTCAAACAGCTTTTATTGTACTTAGTAAGTCTCGGAAAGTCATTCAGAACCAGCCTATGTGGGTCTCGTCTGTTTCTCGGATTTACCATAGCTATTGCTTGATTGTGTTGACAAAACGAGGAAAAAGGAAGATTGATAATATGTACATGGCTATAACTAGGGTGATTGCATACAATGCTTTTTTTGCATGTGCATGCTTTAAGTAAGTCGGTTGGAAGATCGGAGAAGAGCCATTACTTAACTGGCAAGACGTGGATCAAGGCCAACGAACAGGCGTATGTTTAATAACTTACTTTAAATATAATTACTACAAAGTTATAGGTATAATCAACATAAAATATAATGACTACTGTGTGTCAATTGGGTATAACTGAAAGAAAGTGCAAGAATTAAGGAATTTGAGCATTTTATAGGTGTTCATAAATCACATTCAAAGTCAAAACGTTTATTGCAAACTAGTCTAGGTACCATGTTGGGTTTGCATTATAGTAAAGCGCTAGATTAAATTTAAGTCTATTTAAATCTATCCTACTCTACTACTTTACATTTATAGGCTGTTAAAAATAATCACGAAAAGATGCTGAGATGTCGCTATTCCTAAAGACAAAAAACTCGTGAAAGCGGAGAAGGATAAACAATTAAAATATCTTGCCTTGGTCTACGCAGTTGTTAAAATGCGGAGTATTAACTCAGCTATCGTATCAAGGCCCTCATACTGAAGGTAGTCCTTCCTGAATGGTCAAGTATTGTGAGGAGATTTCTGTCTCTGGAGCCCTAATCACCGATCGCTTGGGCCTTGCTTCCGCTGCCGGCTGACACCTGGTTTTAATATTTTTAAATCTTATTTTATTTTATTATATTTATCTTTATACTGATTAAAATAAATATGTGTAAATGTCATTTATTCTAATATTTTATGTATGTATGTGTTAATTACGCAAGTTATAGCTTATGTGTGGTCTGCTACAACATTATATGTCTGTGCATACACAACAGTCTGAAACCATAGAGTTACAAGAATAAACAGTAAAAAGTTTACCATAAATTCATCAAAAGAGAGAAGTGCATAATATTTTTAGATGTAGAAATCAAAGGTGTCATCTGAATAATTATTAAAATATTATTGATCGTGAACATAAAAGGTAAATATTTTATATTATTATTCTTTGTCTTTGTAGTTAGTGGCTTGTAAGTGTATCAACCAGTAATTGATGTATACTCGTTTGTAGGTTAGAGTAGTGCGATCTAATATGCAGAACAACCCCCAGGAGCTTTCATGGCAGGCGATTCAGGCTATCGTCGGGGTTAAACTTCCACCAAATGTACTACGATTTGATGATATCGGATTCCACTTAGTCAACAATACTGTTTCAAGCGCTGAAGATTCTGATTCTGATGTAGAAATAGTCGAAAATGATTGGGAGTCTGATAATAATGTGTCCTCCAGACCCGATCATTCCGACAATGAAAAAACCACGTCCCCTGATAGGGAACAAAGTGAGTCACCCGTTTTACGACTCATAGAACCCGACAATAACAATACAGGCAAAGAGACGTTAGATTATAGAGAATATGTCGAAAAGATTGAAACTAAAGATATTTCTCCTAAGGAACATATGACACAAATCCAAATCGACGATGCTGATAGTTCAAATGGTAATGTTATGTCCATTGAAAACTACTTGGAGGTCACTTTGTCAACTGACTCTGAGGCTAGTCATACTTGCAGCCAATGTAACCAAATGTTTTCAAACGAAAATTCTCTGGCTTCACACAAATGTAGTGCTAAACCCACCGAAGAAAAAAAGTACCCCTGTCATGTGTGCTCAGAAAAGTTTCCTAGCTCCTGGGATCTCAGAAAACACCTAAGCAGCCATTTTCCTGGAATGCTGGAATCCAAGTCAAGCTTTTGTCACCTTTGCCAAAAAGACTACACAAAAACAGGATTCATGAATCATTTACGTAAACATACGGGTGAGCGTCCATTTGTATGTGAACTTTGCCATAAGGCATTCTCTCAGTCAAGTTCACTTTCTATACATATGAAATTCCATCTTAATGTAAGAAAGCATGCTTGTACTGTATGTGAAAAGAAATTTGTAACCAAAAGTGAACTATCACGTCACATGACAGTGCACACTAAACAAAAGTCTTATTACTGTGGAGTATGTGACAAAGCCTTCACTCGCTCAGATAATATGAAGAAACATGAGAAAACTCATGGGTAAAAATGTCCCAGAATTTTTAACTGTGAACAATGTCATAATATAACATGCAATTGAATTGCATTCTCAAATCAAAATTATCAATAATGTCTGGTCAATTCTGTTGCCAAAAACACTGTAGTTATTACTTTTCAACAAGCTATAATTTCTGATTCTCTTATTGCCAAAAAATTAGTTATAATATGTTTGTTAAGAATAGAACTTTTACATTGTTTATACTAAATTTAAACCTATCATGATCTAGTTCATATTTTAGTCATTATGGTGTGTTTCTGTGTTTATGCGAGTGTTTTATAACACTCAATGTGTGCTGCTGTAATTGCTTGCAATTTTTTTTATTTATATTATTTTCAACTGTATGTTTGGGTTAATACTAGTGAATTAGTAAAATGTATTTGCAGGTGCTTTACAATAAGGTCACACATATCTCAATCCAATGTTGCCTTTTAGATATGATAAAGTGATATTTTAATATATGGATATTTATGTAGGTGGAATGTCCAAAGGTCCGATAGCCTTATTGTAATGTTTACATTAGATAAAGGGAAATGTGTTGGTAATTCAATTATGAGGCCTTTGAAAAGATATCACTAATTATTTTTGTAAGCTTATTAGTAGGGGTGACCATTGTGGGTTTTGGGATTTACTTGAGTATGAAGGATGAACATAATATCTGGTAACCTCCTAACTAGTGCCAGTTATAAAAGATGTATGTAAAAAGCTTAAGATATTTGCTTTTTTACACTACAGTTGCATAGAATTAATTAGTAATGTTATTTCACCAACCTGGGTGGGTTTCACCAATCTGAAAATAGTGTCCTGAATTTTCATGATACTGCATCATCCTCAGCCAGTATCAAGACTTAGGCGTTACCATTATACTGTATTGCAGTGTGCACACAAGTTTCATTAATGGAACAACTTTTAGGTTCCTATTCATACTCAAAATTAATAACATAAGTTGAATAATAACAAAACTCCAAATGGCCAACAGGTCCTTCTAAAATTCAAGTAAATACCAATTTAGCACTATGGGCTTCCCTACTGCATATACATATTATTATTATACATGAGGAATGGTACTAGACCACCAGTTGATGAAAACTTTGCCAAATTTTTAGATAAGTATTTCAAGTGATTTTAATTACTGTACTGTGTTGTAACCAAAGCAATAACATTTTTAATGTGCCTATTCTTTATAATAATTATTATAGATACAAGTATACCAAATAATTTAATTATTTAGAATTAATAGATTTAATAATTGAAACTGTAGGTAACAAGTAAGTTACAATTTTCCAACTGTGAATGAAATATGAGGAAATAACTTTGATTTCCTTTATGGTCTCCTAATATATTAGTTAAGATAGTGAACAACATTAATGATACATAAGTTAAAGGTTTATGAAATGAGACCTTTATTAAACATCACAAATGTTTAACAGTGCACATATTTATTTGTAACTGTTTAGGAACATTAGTTAATTAGTTTGCTATTTGATAGACAAGGTCCTTTGCGATAAGACTTTTAGACCAAAATAAGTAACAAAAATCCCAAAGAATGTACTGTCATATTTTATGATTGGCTATAAAACCAAAGGCTACTAACTTATTTTGTGCCACTTGGATTTCATATACTGGTTGTAATATAATGCCTTATTATAAAGTTAATTTTAACTAAAGTAGACAATAAACTATATATATTATATTATATTTAATGTTTTAAGTATTTAAATTTGCATGACTTGTTTCTAGTTTAAGAAAACGATATTGAGCCAAATGAAATAAAAACGCAAAATCTACAAGACTGACGATAATATTCAGAGTAGGTATAAACATGTGCACAAAATCAATTATTTATTCATACTGTTTATAATTACAATTTACAATGTTCTATTTATCAAAAATGCACCTTGTTAAAAACTCATCATGACAATTAGATTAAGTTCAGTTTGATATATAAATTAAAAATATTTTATGAAAATGTGTAATAATAATTGCGATTTTATTAAAGAGTTGTTTGTTGCAAGTTCTGTTTTATTTCAGAATTAAATAATATTTTTCCCTTTGTTCTAGGTTGCACTAAAGATGTCGGCAAGGTTACGTAACCTTAATCCGTATGAATTGCATAAATACTTAGTTAATGTGTATTGTCTCAATACAAAGGGCTCAACTGGAACATTAAAACGGGACACTTCCAGAGATAGAACTGACCTTGACATTATAAGAGAAAATTATAAATTTTTATGGGACGAAGATGACGTTGCTGATACTTGGGAGAAGCAACTAGCTAAAAAGTACTGCGATAAACTATTCAAAGAATATTGCATTTGCGATTTAAGCAGATATAAAGAGAACAAAGTAAGTCCAATGACACTAGGAATGTTGTATGATTCCACATATTCAAACTGTGTTCCTACCTACGTATTCATAATATTGTATGTTACGTCAAATACCAGAAAATATCGCACGTTCCCATTCTTGAAAACTTCATTGAACAAAATGAAGTCTGCCTTCTAACGGGTTTAAAGGTCACATTGAAATATGCGATAAAGGTTCTCCCCTATTATAACATGGCTGTGTGAGATGGGGACGTGCCCTTATGTAACTCATTTTTTGCTCGAGACCTTTTGTGTCGTTATAATGTAGGGAGTGCAACAAAGGCCGTGCTGCCTTTCTGTAGGCTAAATATAGCTCTATACATTCACCCGCATTGATACACAGTAACGCACATCTGGCCATTCGTGCCGCAGCCGCCGATCCCCATTTGTATCACAAAATCAATGACAAGAAGGCACGCTTCATTCACACGGTTTTAACGATCGTGTTTTGAGACTTATGTTATTATGCCTAAGGTCCGTATTTAATAAACGTTTTCCTACAGGCAGGTACAGTGTTACCGAAATAATAATCTTCCTATTTAATAGATTCGCATTTTGATGCCTAAAAATAAAACGACTACCTACCAAGGTACCACAACTCATATGTGTTTCGAAATTTCGAACTATGCATTTTTAAGAAACATTTTATTATTTGTTATCTACTTACTCGTAATAATGCAAAGGACAGGTCAAGTACGTTACCCCAGGAATCAATAAAATGTTTCTTCATCATACTTAAAGAATACTTTGTGTGAGTTGTGTGCTTTAGGTACCATTTAATTTTCGCTAGATTTACAGTTTAATTTGTTGCGCCTTGAGGTCAATAATAATTATTATGTAGGTACTAAAGGTACCTACATATCCATATTCCTAATTTAGTTGCTAGGTTATATTTTCAAATAAAGTATGTATGAAATACCTATTAGGTAGCACTACGCTGGCGTGTCGAGAAAGAAGTAGTACTGGGAAAGGGTCAGTTTCAATGTGGAAATAAGGTGTGCAACAATGATGGCAACCTCAAGTCCTGGGAGGTCAACTTCGCTTACATGGAAGATAACGAGAAGAAAAATGCTCTCGTAAAGCTTCGTAAGTCCAATACTAATTACTTAAGTACTGTGACAACTTACTATAAAATAAGCATTCTACTTAAACTAATACTGTACTGTGGGTCATGACCTCTATCTTGCCTTCGCCTTATTATCATTATTTATTTCGTTACAGTTAGGTACTTTACATAGTGCAGTGGATTTTGGGGCAGGTTGTTATTGTTTGCATGTTGCACTAAAGCCGTTGAACAGTCTGTTAGTTGGTGTTTTATCGTAAAATAATGTAAGTAGGGACCTGCGCAATACACATTGTCGCAACGCTTATTTAAATTAAATACAGTGCACTTAATAATACTTAGTTACCTATGTCAATTTAATTTAGTAATACTGATTTATAACCCATTGAAAAAATAGTATATACGCCTAATAGGGACAGGTTTATCTTTAGGTACTCTAGATATACATACACCAGGTCGAGAAGGCCCCTTACAGTAGGTAAATCACGAAAGATTGAACTCTACCCTACCCAAGCTAACTAATTTAAATTCAAAATAGCGTGCGGCGCGGTTACTCCAGCTACCTCTCAGTACCTGCCTACTTGGGAAAAAAAGACTGCAGCTTTCATAAGTATTGACCCTAACTGAAACTTGATTGTAGACCTACTTATTAGGTACTCTTTAAAGAAAATACGTAAGGTATAAAATTCTAGTTAGTTAGTTAGTTATAAAGTACTAGCTCTGTTACAATCGATAGCTGGAAGTAAATTCAGACGGGGCAGAGTCACTTGCTCTCACCTCACACTGGGCGGGAAATCATTTGATGACATATCCCGCCCTGACAAAAAAGCAGCTGGAAGGCAGGTACTGCAGGTAGCTACGTAGAATAGGTAGATTTGAATACAACATATTATGTTTACCTATGCATACCTATATTTGAAGGCAGTAACTTTATACGGACTCATAGCACAAAAAACTATAGAAGGTACCTACTAACCGAGATGTAACCGAGTAAGTAGTATGCTAACCGAGAAGTTCCTCGAAGATTTTATCCTCTCTCCTAATAAAATGTTGCATTGTAAAAATTTACTTTATTTTTTCCGACAACTGTTTTTATGTTCACCTTATGACATGCATTCAAGTATTAAGTTTTATTAGAGTAGGAGTTAATATTTAGACACCTTAGGTATGTAGGTAAAATTGTGTATTTAATAGACACTTCTATAATTTCTGTCAACGACCATAGGTACGTTTAGAGAGGCCTTAATAAAGCACAATACATTATGTCCATAATAACCCTTTAATGTTTTACTGTAGGTGTATCTTTAGTAATGGTTGGTACTTGGTACCTACTTGACCGGTCAGCCTGTGAAGGCGGATGTGAAGTAATTACGTCAATTGGCTGCTGTGCAATGCACGAACATTGGTATATGCCTCACTGGGGGAGAGCTTAGCACATTCCAAATAATAATTTCAGTTTTATCACCATATTTCCTGCCTTGTCATACGACCTACTGATTTCGATACCTGTATGTAGGTAACTTATTACACAGTGTCTAACAGATTCAACTTTTTATATAGGTCTGTGCCCAGAATGCTCGAAGCTATTAAACTATCGATCAAAGAAACGAGAAGTAAAAAGGTTAAAGAAAAGTCAGAAGAAAATAAAAAAAGCTAAAAAACCTGACAAGGAAGAAAGTGGTGACGAGGAACAATGCCCGGGTACTCCAGAAGCTGCCATAGAGCCTTCTACTTCGGCTGAAGCCACAGCTCCAGAAGAGGATGAAGCAGATTTGTGGAAGAAAGGTTTGTGTCAGTGTTATCTACAGGTATTTTTTATCAGACATTAACGCAATTGTTTCTTTGGGTTAGTTCACACAGATAATTCGACAATGACGATGTTGCGTCACACTTTAAAATACCTACCCACTCAAATACCGCTTTTGAGGGTTCCGTAGTAAACTAGAAACCCTACTGGTCTCGCCATGTCTGTCTGTCTATCTGTCCGTCTGCGGATAATCTCAGTCGCCGTTAGCACTAGAATGTTTATCAAACACGCGACAAAGTGGTAAAAAAAATACACGTAAAGTAGGTAGAGATATTTTTTTTTCATTTAAATCCTAACGTGTATATTCTTGAATAGGTATTAAAAGGCGTCCCTTCCCTCTAACTTCTGAACATGGAAAAAATCTTAAAAGTATAATTATGCATTTTTTCTAGGAAAATTGTTTTAAGTTTTTGAAATGCTTATTTTACTGTAATTCAACCATATGCAAGCATTTTTTAAAGTCAAAGTCAAAATCATTTATTTCAATTACACCACAGTAGTCCTCTAGTGAAGCTATTTGCTCGTTCCAAAGTGTACATTCCTATGAAGAAGAACGAGTAAGAAACTCCATGGTTACCTACTCTTTTTCAATCAGTTTTACAATTCATTTCTTTGTTACATCATTTAGTCGGTTCTGATATGTGAGAACAGTGTAACACTAATCTTTAGGCAAAGAATCCAAAAAGGAGTTAACCTCAAGGACAACGTTTAGACAGCCTGGAGATGACCAGTCTCAATAGGCGGCGCCCGTTCAAAACAAATACCGTACACCAGCACCACCCAACTCAACTATATTATAGGGATCGAGCGATCCAGTGCCCGTGCCACCGCCAAATGAGACCTCTGAATGAGCATGACAACTCCCAGCCGACACAAGTACCTACATATACCTACCCTCTACTATTCTACAAGTCTAAGTTAATGATAATAGGTTACAGGGCACTCACATTTACAAAAACTTTGAAAGTTCATCAACAATTACCAACATGGTGTCAATTTAATGATTGAAATCAAAAAATCCTCTTAACATCCTGTGGAGTAGGACCAGCTAGCCTCCAGGCATGTTTATCTTGTTTATACCTATAATCATTTAGTTTGTAGTATGCTAGTCTACCTAAATTTTTCTATATACATAATTGAAATTTGCCTTCATTTAGATTAAACATTTGGTAAAATAAATCTAATGCATCTAGTCTTTTTATCGTTTACTAAATTTTAAACCTTCATTAAGGCATTATTAACTTCGTTATATTTGTTTGTTTGTCTATTTATTTTAAAAATCAGTGAAGTGCCATTAGCACGTAATACAATATGCGGTTCATTTTGGAACAAATGAGGCGGGTCATTAACATAAACTAAAAATAGAAAAGGACCTAATATTGAGCCCTGCGGTAGGCCCATAGATACGCTAGCCCCCTGTAAATTCACTTTGTTGACTTGCACTTTAATTTGTCTTTCTTGAAGGTATGACTTCAAAATCTAGAGCTACCCCCCAAATGCCGTAGTGTTCTAGCTTCAGTAACAGCGTCTCGTGCTTAACACAGTCAAATGCCTTCGACAGATCACAAAATATTCCGATGGCATCCTGTGCTTTTTCCCACGAGTCGAAAACCTGTTTTATAAGCGATACAACAATAATACAATTTTAATATTGTTTATATCTTTTATTACTCTGAACATATCGTATATAATATATCTTCTTTCAAATAAAACAAATTATTAACATAGGTTTACGGAATCCAAAATTACTAACATGTCTAGCTTCATTAATTTGGAACCTAATTCCCTAAGCGATGTCGTTGTACTTTTGCTACTTAACCTACGCTGAATTGCGGTCTCTTATAAGATTTACAATAAGTTACTTATTTTGACAGACGGGAAGCTACGGAACACTACACAAGTACACAGAGCGTAGCCCGATACGCTCTTGGCCGGTTTTTTTACCATAAGATAGCATATTTCATCCCGGGGTTACAGTACCTACCTTATACCATACCGCCAACGTATCTTGGCGAGTCTGAAGTTAGCCGATTAGCTGCGCAGTACACAATTTTGTTCAAACATCCATTGAGCAGACAAACGGCTAACTTCACACTCGCCAAGATACGTCGGCCGTACTGACGTTAAGTTACGACGCGAGCCGCGGCCGAGGCTGGGAGCGACTTCTCTACTTGTGACGCTTAGTCGTGAGCTCGAGTATAATTATTGATATGACGTATTGTTATACATGTTTCGTACTTCTTGAAGATAATGAAAAAATAAGGAGTACGTGATGGCATCTCAGTGTGAACTGACTAGCTAGATAAATCTAAACTTCGTTCGTTCTCTTTGGATCATACTTAGGTACTGGGTCTCCGGGCAGCGATTTTACAAAAGCTTTAGATAGATACTACTTTAGTCAAGTCAGATTCTAATAAATGAGCTTTTGTTATGCATTTTACTCAACAATATCAAAATCTTGTTATCTAAAGAAAATGCACGGACAAAATCTATAATAGGTACTATAGTCAGAATTTTAATTCGATTCCTGATTTGACATTGACCACTGTCATTTTGTGAAATAATGATACCACATATAAAAGTGTAGTGATGAACACAAAAATCGATAAACAATCAGTGAATCAGTTTCAGGAAGGCATTCAAAAAATTACGGCTATCGAATGGTCTAAATGTGTATCCTATGTTTTCAAAGAAGAGGAAAAAATGAGTAAGCTAGATATGTTAATTGACAATAAAAATCACAGACACAATTGCTAATGTTACGTTAAGTAACAGCGATAGCGATAGCGATGGCGGCGACAATTTATAAAATTTCTGTTTTATTTGTCATGTTCCTTCATGATCAAATTTTTTATTAATTTCACACCCAATTACAAAAGAAAAGTCTCAGATCGTTAATTAATTGTCATAACTAAATTATCGGTTCAGAAATATTTTATTACCTGATAAACTTGTTTACGAGATTAAATTTATAAACGAGAGGAATCGATTCAGAAATATTCGATTCCCACATCGAATAATTTCGCAACGTCACTATTTATTACGTGTCATAACGTTGCAACCCTGAAATTGTCAAATCTGGAATGGAATTAAAATTCCGAGTATAGGTACTAACTAACGTTACGTGCCTAGAAACAGAACGTCATTTTTAAACTTGTCTCCTCTAGGCTTTCTACTCTGTTCAATGTGTAGTTGCATTTTCGTATCCAGATCTGAATGAATGAAATGGTCTTTAGGCCTACCATGACGTGTTAAAAGCGTGAATCTTTCGGGCGAGAAAGAGGGATGTACCTATAAAAGGTCCATCCCTCTCTAGATAGGTGGTAGGTGGTAGGCCCTCTGGGCGATATATATTTGGGTCCTTACACGCAGACTTATTTAGCGTTAAATATTAATTTGGAATAACAACTACTGATTATTGATTAACGACTTGTATTATTTTATTTAATAGGTTCAGAAGAAATCGAAGAGAAGTCGCGAGAGGATGAGTTTGAAGAGTACTTGGAAGATCTGTTATTGTAAAATGGAATGTATATAAAATAAATAAAAAACACGAATTTAATAAATTGTTTTATTCCAATCTATTTTAAAGTAATGCATTGTAAACAAAAAAAACTCTACGTCGGTTATGGTACGATGGACCTCGTGGTAAATGGTAGCCAAAACGAATGTATCAAATTCTTGGTTAGCGACAATGCTATGGATCAGAGATGTTGCAGGCCACAATAAATATCTGATGGCATATCGTTAGCTACCTAGTAAAACGACAAAACGCATCTCACCTCACCTTCGTGAAGAGTTAATATTCATACGACTATAATAACATGCAAATTATCCAATTGCTATAATAAATACACAGCCGACGAATGGACATTATATTGACTCTAAACTTTTACTGCATTAGATCTGGGAGAATAACATTTTACTTGTTACATTTTTCTGCTTCTCAAATTTATCGATTATACCAACTTACCTAGAAAGTAATAACAAATAAATAAAATTATAACAAAGCAATAATTTCAAAAAATAACTTCTTTAAATTGTGCATTTTTGCAATTGCAAATCTAGACAAATAACACTCTGTAAATAAAAGTCAATCTAAATAATTTCCAGTAAAATAATGAACAGTTGTATCATATAGGTAGTAATATATAACCATTTTAAATTATATCCAACAAAATATACCTAAGTGTTTCGATTCCATAACAATCAAAGCCTCATATAATCATAATCATGACTGGAAAATGCTAAAGTAAAAGTTTCTTATAAATTAATTAATTGAATATCAATCCGTAAGACTTCTTCACTTCACCCATTCTAATACTTCAACATTAGTAATTGCACATCGACATACAGACTCGTTTGCACTATTGTTTAATCGGAACCATTGACTGCTCGAACATGTAGTTTAAACTAAATACAATGTAGGCACTACTTTCGTTTTACAGTCACATTATTTATAAAAAACTTCGATCTCAGTACGCGACGACACAGTACGATCAGTATCTTTACATTATATTGTAAACTGACCGGCTTCCGGCCATCGCCGATATTAATTAATATGGAATAATATGCTTCAGTATCTGTAGGTGCGAGAATACTTTAAATTAATTATTTAGTCTGCGGAGTCTTAGCCACTTCTTCGTCGTCCGAACAGTCTTCGTCGTGCGTGTGCGTCAGTTGGCGAGGTGTCTCTGGACGCATGTGCGGTACTGATGCACACTGAAACTGGAATAGTCATTATTATAATACTAATAAGGTATCAAACAATTGTTTTTAGGATTATTTAATAATAATTTACTGTTATCTGGTGTAGGTGTAGATCATTTGGTTGGAGCTCCTTTATTAAATTTCATCAACTTACAGTTACGCTGGGATGACCCTTTGACTTGTCCTTGACACTGATATCACTTGACGAACGGCTGGACAACTCTTCAGGAATGTCACCTACGCCCATTATAAGGGGAACGCTGGAGTTCCTGCTCCTGAAACGTACAAATATTACGTTAAAATGTTGAAGAGCAGCTGCGGCACGAATGGAACAACTAAACATGACCATCATGGTCTTACACGATGTCTACAAAGGGGAGATGTCATGCTGTATTAGGATAAAACTATTATCACTGAGAGAATTCAGAGATTCGAGATTCAAGTCACCGATCAAAACACAATGTTTCTTTATATGAGATAAGTCGGCAAACGAGCAGACGGATTACCTGATGGTAAGCAATCAACGTCGCCCATGGACACTTGCAACAATAGAGGTGTGACGGGTACGTTGCCGACCTTTTGGGGATTAGGGATTTTGAGATTTAGGTATTGGGGCAATATTTTTGTTTTGTTTGAGAAAATATAAAAAATGCAATAAAAAAAATTAATAATGCGATTAAGACCTTGTATGTATTTGGAGTCAAAATATCAATGCACATAACAGTCCAGTCTGAACTAAAGCTTTTTCTAAGTTACTAACGAATTCGTCATCTCTTGTGTTGTATGGTTTCTATAGCCAATAATAGCATAAGAATAGATTATATATAGCGTATTATTTTTCTGCACATACAGGGAATGTATGTAGGAGGCCATAAATCACGTTATGTATGCTAAAGTTATGCTCGGACATGCGCCGCACTTCTAAATATATCGCAGTGTTGACGACGCATATCCATTCGCTAACGAGGTCACTAACTGAATACCAAATGTTGCCAGTGGCCTCATTACCGAGTAAAAATAATGCAACGAGCTCCCTGTTCCACAAATGGAATGACCACGAATGGAATGTTTTTCTTTATGTAATAAGTCGGCAAATGAGCACACCAGTAACAGGATTACCTGGTGGTAAGCAATCAACGCCGCCCATGGGCACCCACAACATCGGAGGAGCTACGAGTGCGTTGCCGACCTTTTGGGGATTAGGGATTTGGAGATTTTGGGATTGGGGGTTGGGCATGATTGGGCCTCCTGTAACCTCACTCACACGGCGAAACACAAGTATGTGGTTGTTTTACGCCAGTTTTTAGTAAGCCCTCTGGACCACAATGGACTTACAAACACAAAAAAATGTTCAATTATTATTGAACATTTTTTATTCAGAAATTCCACTTATAACTCAAGAACGGCTGAACCGATTTAGCTGAAAATTTGTAGGAAGGTAGCTAAGAACTCGGAGAAAGACATAGGATAGGATAGGATAAAGTAGGTAGTGTAGGGTAGGTAGTCAAATGACGGGAGTGACGCCGCGGGTAGAGCTAGTATTTTTTTTTTTCGGTGTTTTAAGAATCTGCCCCACATTTGGATTTTCTCCTGTGTCGTGGGTGCGGTTACAAACATACAATTTCACATACACATCACACCCAGACCCGGAACAACAATTTGTGAATCACACAAAGAGTTGTTCCGTGCTGGAATCGCAACCGCGACACGTTGTACGGCAGCCAGTTGCCCAGCCACCGCACCAACCGTGCAGTCAAAGTATATTATAAATATATAGTAAGATTATCATCAATACACCATTCTACAGAACTTGAATTTCCTTTGTCGGTTCTTACGACGTCCGCATGAAGAATTGGGTTACTGCCAAGCCAACTTTACTTACTCTACCATGAGCTCACAGCATCATGTCAACATGAAATAGCCTTATTACAAAGCGACTGGTCAATTTATTAATTTACCTGTCTATGGTGTGTCTGTCGAAGGTGAAGCGTTGTTCGTGTGCGACGGTGGATTCGTGCGGCATGAGCATAGCCGGGGCGCGGAACATGTAGCAGAACGGGTAGTACATCAGGTTCAGGAACGACGCCGCGTATAAGTCCGCGTACCTCACCACCTGTAATTATAGTTCATTTTCACTTCTTATAATGAGGGTATGTTTAAGGCTATCCAGAAAATATTTTGAGATTATTGGGAAATATTTTCGGATGAAAAGACCAGGTGTAAAGTTAAACTTTTAATTGACAAGTAGGGGTAGACGTTACTTTTTCCAGTCTACGTGATTCAATCTATACTTTACATAATTATAAATAAAAAAAAATTAAATAAATAATAAGTATATATAAAAAATCTGAATAGGTAAGCTAAAGTATTTCAAATATTTTAAGTACTCGTCAAAGCAGTGAAAAAATTTATTGTAATATTTGCATTTTGTATCTCAATGTTCTTATAGATTGTAGTATTAGCTTCTAAACTACAACTTCTATATGATCAATAATTTTGGACATATACCCTATGTCCAACAGTGGACGGAATGATGGATGATGATGATGATGATGATACATATAATGAGCAAAGATGCGCCTGGTTACACAGGTTACTTTTAATGGTATAAATTATAAATATTAATTATGTAGGTATTGATAGTATGTATTATGTAGATTTAATGTGTTTATTATGTTAATGCTTTGGGCACGTGTCTAAGGACAACAACCTTATAATAGACACAACCGTTAGGAGGAATTTTATTTACTATCAACATCTGTCTTCGCGAATTTTATATCGATAAAAATATAAATATTATGGATGCCGTCACAAGTTTATGAAGCCTTTAACTGCTGACAGAAAACTATTGAAGGCAAATCACCGTTGATCTATGCGGTTGACGTGTTAATAGTGCAAAGAAAAAACCACGCCCTAAAAGTTTACAAGATTTCCAAGATATAAGACTTGAATCATTTTCAATGGCGGAATTTAATTTAATCTAGATTTGCTTTTCTTACTTACTTACTACTTTTGCACTATTTACTAACGATGTTTTTGTCTTTGCAATACTTTGCTTATTTAATACAACAGAACAACCTCCACTGACTTTTTCTAGTGTTCTAGTTTGACAAGTCACATTAGTATCAATTGTTTATTTAGACAATGGTAAGTACCTGTGACGAAAAGAATGTTTGTCTGGATCCAGAGCGGAACAGTGACCCCAGCATACCGTACGCCAAGTCCATCTTGTGTGTGACGTCACGGATAGAAATACGCAACTTGGATATATCCGGCTTCACCTTCGTACTCGAGTCTAAATCTCTGCAACACAATACATCGTTAACAATGTAATTAACGTTTTATGAAAATTACCTTTATTCAAATGTGATATAGTACTTTATTGTTCTAGCCTAGACTCTAGTTGTTATTATGAGTCAAGATTTAATAGACTACACAGTTTGAAAAGCCAAGATTTGAAATTTAAGGCCAATTTCACTAAATTCATATAAATACCTGAGAAACGACATTATTATTCTAAATTTAAATTTATCTTGAGAGACATAAATATTGGCTATTCAGATACTGTGAAATAGGCTCTCAACAACTGCAATTTCATCAATATGTAATACATACAGTTGAAAAGCTTAATCAATATTTGATATACTACAAATAATAGAGTTAAAAAAATCAACTACCAAAAACACTTACAATACATATGCATAGTTTTTAAGTTCTTTGAAGAACAACTAGATATATTAAAATTTACTATAAGTTAAAGCAATGATACGTACTTGTACATATGTCCTAGTTTGACGTCAAGGTCTTGCAACTGTTCAAACAGCTGGCACTTGTCCGTCCACACATGCAACTCCTGAACTAACTCGGGTACAATGAGGAAGGTGCGCCACCCACCAATCTTCTTAGACTTTAGGATGTCACCGAATATGTGGTCGCCGACGTACAACACATCCTTGCCCTTAGCACCGATCATATCGGTGAACACATCGCAGGAACCTGGAGAATTACAAAATAAAGATTAATTAAACATTTTCATTTATTATGCGACGATATGTGTGGTGCAAAGAATTGAATTAATTATATATCCACGGTATATTCGTTTATGTGCTCTTTGTCAGAACTATTTTATTACATCCTGCACTAACTAGTTATGTAGAGGATTTAGATAAATTTACTTTTTGTTGCTAAGCAGATTTTTTTTTTGATAATAATGATGAATAATTCTTTTCACAATTCTTACTATAAAGCGCATCTCTTGGAAAAATATTTCACTTAACAATTTTGTAAATAACAGTGGACCAATCATTTAAACTAAGTACCTACTTTGAGTAACTATTACATGCACCCTAATCCTTATCATTAATACGCTAATCCAATCGGATTTACATAGTTGAAAGAGAACATGGCTATCGTAGGTCACCTCAAGCAAATGACAAGATAACTCTCGGCTTTAGTGATACAATACAACATTCTTATCATAAGTAGCTACGTAATCTGGATAAACCTTTGGAAACAAACAAGAATACATTGATACCGAGAAATTAGTCCCAATATATTCCATTGAAATTTTGCCTTACTTATTTTTCTCAGAAAATACTGATAAACGTGTGAGGTCACTATCCGCTTCATAGCTCGATTGTCTTTCGTCATTATCTTGAACTAAATATTACATTGTAGTAAATATCTCAAAAGTACCAACTGATCATAAATCAATAATAAAATTAAAATGTTGATCGAAGTATGATGTATATAAGTCGACTATGATGCCTATGATGACTATGATGAATGGGCCACGTATAATAAATCATTCGTTAAAATATATGTAGAGAAATTTCGAAATACTTTTCGGTAAACATCTAAGCATAACAAATACATATCAGCGAAAAAAATTCCAACGCATAAAAACCTACACAAAACTATCAAGTAAAGTTCGGCTAAAATCTTCCACTATTGACGTATTCATGACAATAAGATAGATAGTAAATAATCTTGTGACAGCTATCGTTAAGTTGAACGCTACTAGTAATAATGTTTGTGCTTAATATAGCGTTCTGAATAAGATAATGTTTTATCTAATTGTGCAGCATTCATGCCCCAGAGTTGTGTCAACAATAAGGAGGTTACCAACTCAAGCGCTAATAAATCTTACATTTATTTCTATTTATTATTATTGATTAGATAATAATAATATATTATTTAACTAGGTTTTTCCAGTGACTTTATAATGTTTTTTCCGATCTAGGATTTTTTCTCTGTGCTTCTGTTACTCAAGCATTCAACACACGTAACAACATAGTTATATTAAATTTTCGATTTTTCTGTTATCTTTTACAATATCATCATTATTGCCATATTAAAATCCGAGTTATCTCTATTATTGATTTATTGGTACAGTTTAATCCTATCTTTATTAATTAAATAATGGATGGATAATGTAATAAGAAAAATACAAATCTCTATTATAATACACATATCTTATCATATCTGATCATTATCATATCAATTTATGAGAATACTAATGTTAACCGACACGGGCTTTTAGTGTTATCTACTTGACAAGTTTAGACATTATCAGATATATGTAAACTATGTACCTATACATACATACAGGATACAAAAATCAAGCAGGAAAACCGAAGTTCTGGCCAAACTTGACTAATTCATTCGAATTTTACCTGATATACAATTCTAAAGAAGACTAGAGAAACGAAGAATATTATAGATTGGTCTTTCACGAAAAAAAGGTTTTACATTGAATTTATAAATATGCACACAAATGTGAGGTCGACTAACGAATAATGTTAAGCATTCTTACTAGTCAACCTTTAGGTGATGTAGAGACGAGACAAGGTAATCACTTTCAAACTTCACATTACAGGTACAGAAACTAAGCGTTTTACACAGGTAAGGAATAAGTGTTGGAGAGCCAAACTTCGGCACGAATGGGTCGGTTCGACCAGAGTGATACCACGGCTCACAGGAAACCGACGTGAATTAACCACAGCGTTTTGTTTCACCATGTGAGTGAGGTTACCGGAGGCCCAATCCCTGCACCTCCCCTCATCCCTTACCAATCACAAAATATCCGAGGCCCTCATCCCTAAAAAGCCGGCAACGCACTCCTTTCGTGTTGCGGGTGTCTATGGGCGACGATGATTGCTTACTATCAGGTAATACATCTGCTCGTTTGCCGACCTTACACCATAAAAAAAAGAAAGTAAGTACCTCCTGAGTAGACGAGCTCCTCGTGCAGGGGTCCGACGTGGTGTCCCATTTTTAGGGCCCCAGTCTTTGTGTCTACTTGTCGCAGAGTGGTACCTTCACCGAAAAACAGCGGCTTCTTAGCGTCCACAACGATCCAGTCGAAGTAAGTCTTCCAGTTCCGATGAGGTTCACCAGGCTGCACACAAGGACAAACATACTTTCGAAATTGTTCATATTGATTGACCCGAAGCGATAAAGAGTTGACAACTACATAAATAAAATATGCATGTAAATAATAATCTTTTATCACCGTGGGTAACTGTAAATTATCTGAGTAGCAGCAGTGTAAGTAATGATTAAGCGTTTTAATGTCAGCTGTTCGACACTCAATGCATGACCATGATTTAGTTTTTTCTTTGTTTAAGAGTGATGTAATAGACTTTAGATATGCAAATACATATTTGACTGTGGCTTTATTTACCTTAGCACCGTATGGGAAGTCGAAGAGATAAGTCATAATCTTGTCGGTGAAATTGTAGTCGCTGTTTGTCAGTATAAAGATTTTTGCTCCGCTCTCCTTTATCCTCGACAAGAACATTGGCAGTCTGTCGTCTTTCTTCAAGTATAGCTCCACATTCTCTATTGTTTTGACCTTGAGATCTCCGTGAATGTGTACGTAGTCCACAGCATTCCTTACATCTTGGAAGATTGACTTGAACGACATTGCTAGATCCCCACATCGTACACCGTAATTTGTTCTGTGGAGAGAAATACAGGTATATACCTATTTGTAAATGAAACGTCTAGAGGTCACACAACATTCATTGTAACCGAGATTATATACAAGTCGTCGATTTCAACAGGTAGGTGTAATACGAATAAAATCGATTTCGGTAATAGCATTAGCAGCGCTATGTTTGCATTTTTATTCCAAGAAAATTTCCATGTCGCATGGTAAAGATGTTCCAAGCTAAAGATAATAAATACTTCGCGTTTTATGTGGAATACCGATTGCTCTGAGAAATAGCACGGGATGGACATCTATTCGGAGAGTAATGCATCTGTAGAACGAAGATTGATATGCGAATTACGCAACACATAACCATGTGTGATGTGTGGACGTTATTGACCATTCACTTTCAGACAGAGAGCTATTACAGATTTATTGCCAATGCCACATTACTTGAATTATTGCACAATCAAATTAACAAAATTCTTTAATTTAGGCGGCTCGTCACGAATCGCGCCAATAAATTGGACTTTATTTTTGCTCTTTGCACCTGTTAATAGAAACTTTCAGTAATTTATGGAGACATTAGACTAATTAAAACATTTCAGGTATTGATTCGAGTTTAGTAGACAACAAAAGAGTAATGTAACTTCACTGCTTACCTTGTGTATTGTGGCGAGTTTGTGAAGTAGTCTATCAGGCAAGCTATTAGATAAGTTTCTGGCAAGTTGAACAACGTGTTCAGGACATACACTCTGGATTCATCTAATGTTAAGAATTTATTCGGATACAATTCGTATACTTGTGAGCTGAAACGAAACGATGCAATTATTACAAACACAGGTACGCTATCTCATAAGATTTGGGAATACGTATAAAAATTAATAGATATTCACAATACAAAAACAAGGTAAGTACTTAGGTTTTTATAGGTATGTTTAAAGAAACATTTACACATTATAGTATAGGTGCAAATAAAGTGTCCTATACGAGTTCAATTAATTGATAATGTAGAAAGGTCGATTGACGTCACTTTAAGATAGCAACAATGTTTCGAGCGCTAAATACTACAGGCCCGTATAAATGGCCATGTTTACATAAAATTAACGCTCTGCTAAAATCTATACAATTGTGTATGAAGCAAAAACTGGATATAGGTAAATTATTATAATAAATATACTCACTGCTTTAGGAATTCAAATCCATGTACGCACACTAAAATATTACCATAGGCGTCTACTTTTAGTAGGTTTCCGTATAACGTATCGAACCATAGACCTCTGAAAATAAATAACAATTTAACAAAATTCAAATTCAAATTTCGTGAATAATAAATCAAATACTAGGAATATTAAATTAAAACTAGCTTCTTACCTTACTGGAAAAGAAGGATCATATTCAAACTCTAATATTTCTTGAGGGTAACCTTTGTGCACTAATCTTTCTTTGGTCAAATTAAATCCTAATGTTTCATATTGTGGCGATTTGTATTCTGAAAAAGAACATTTGGTCAATTTTAAATTAAATGCTGCGGAGTAGTCAATCCATCCTATTCACTGTCTCTGTCACAGACTTGGTTAAAACAATGGGCATCTATAGAAGGATATAATAAGCTGCAACCCATATAACTACTTTCATAAAATGCTCTATCTACTACTCGATTAGAGTATTGTGCAAATTATGTATTTTTGAAAAATTATAGACGTTACGCAAATACATACAATAAAATAGAGCTGGCAATAACATCGATGTCTACGATATATCTTATCATTATGTGAAGATGTTAACATATATTTTTTTTAACATAATGTTTGAACATACCAGCTAGGGTGTAGTCCATATCAAAGCCGTAAAATTTAACATTTTCTAGATGCAGTGATCTGTTGACAAAGATTCTGAAACAAAGAAAACAGTAAACATGAGATGAGTATTTTCATCGGTGATTAACCCCTGTGTTTATATGTTTATAACGTGTTCAAATAATAAAGTCATTCCCAAGGTTATCGTTTACGTACATTCTGTTCTATTGATAGATTTGTTCCTTATTTTTTAACTAAAAACGATTACCCTGCTCTGTATTCACGACCTCTTAAATATTATTTCGACAAACGTCGTATATTTCGATAATCTTAAATAGCAAATTAAAATTATAATCATAAGATATGATCTACAAACCTATCCCAAAAGTTAGGAGCGGTAATAAAATCCATTTAAGTACAAAATTAATGTAAAGGTATACAAATTTAAATGTCTAGGATATACAATAAATGTCAATTAGACATTATTGTGACATCTCGACATTTTCTTGATTTTTCTTTTTAAGCAGAAAATGCACCTAAACATTTGTTTTTTCAAGACCACTTCTATGAAACAAATCTTAGAATTTTCCTTATCTAGCGCTTACAGAAGATCGATGGTCATCAATAGATACACTTATCCTGTTTTATGTACAATCAAGAAAATAATTATAAAGACAATCTAACCATTTCATTTAAAACGACCTTTATTACCTCGAACGCTACTGTGAGTGTCATAAACAATAGCCGCATTAAACCAATCTAGACACGCGATTGAATAATTTGCTCGGAATATACTTCACTTTTCTCTAAACAAGAAAAGAAGAACCAAGAATTTGTGTAAAATGTGTTATTTCGAAAATTTTTATTTGCAGCGCATTGGCTCCCTTTCCTTTTCCCTTAGTATAGGATTACATATTTGTAATCTTTTAAATACAATATTCTCATTATAAGTAGGTAATCAAAGAACGCCAAACATTATTTCAAGAAAATGTATACTTAATAATATATTTATACGCGGGAGCAGACAGCTCATCCTTGCTTGATATTGGAAGATTTTTATCCTAAATGGAAAAGCAATATCATTAAATTGAGGAATTTAATATAATTATGACGAGCTAACTAACTAATTCTAACACGCCAACCGCACATCCGTGCCATTGTTTCTCAAGTACTTCACGTAGATAAGAATTACGTCACACCAGACGTGTGAAACGATAAGGAAAGAAATATGCCTATATGTCACAGATGAATGGAAATTATTCTGAATTGGATGACTCTAAGCCTAAAACTTAAGCCATTATTAATAGAAAGCTGAAATCTCATCAAAGAGATACTTCTATCATCCGGGATCAAGGTGAAAGAAACGGTTCAAGAGAAAATCTTGTATAAAGGATGCTCAACTTACGAACGAAACAGATGTGCATATAAACTGAAATACAGGGACTTTATAGTGTAAAAAGGAATATTATACGTATTCGGGAGTATCTCAAAACTTGAGGACATGGAAGATTTAATACAAAACAAATATTGAGCTATTTGTGAAATACCTTACCATGGATTATGTACATATAAGTATTGTATAAATTTCCATAATAATGAGTACTCAAGTCCTCTAACCCATAACAGTAGGTTAAAATGTTTACATTTCGTTACCTAGGTACTTAATTTTTTTTTGTTATCATAATACTGTTACTAGAAAAGGCTGATAATAAAGTAAGTAGTTAGGTACTATTTGCTATTTACGGGCTCAGCTTCGCAGTACCACCCACATGTTCCGCTTTTGAGGTTCATAGTTATAACAGATAGATAGACGTAGGCCGTAGCCCTTCTCTATAACAGTATACTGAAATTTATTTTAGGTATCTGACAATTGGTGTTAAATTTTTTCGCAAGTGCCAAAATTGCAACATTAATTCAAAACAGTATTTAGTTATTTTAGGCGCATGTCGTACAAGGTGAATATCTTAATGCAAGTCAGGCGATAATCCAGACGAACACTGTTGGCTCCAGTACGATGTCCATTTTAATCATTATCATAATGCAACGTGTTTTAAATTTGCGACTAGCACGCCTACACGAAGCACGCACTCTCAGACTGGAATTTCAGCGACATGCCAACATCGACACTAATACGTTTGATAATTCCAGTAGCCAGACACACTCTTATACCTAGGTACCCATGTAGGTAGGACATAGACTTCATGATATAGTATACATATACATATGTCCGGTAGTAGATCGTGTCATTTTCCTCAAATTGAAAGAACCCGATAAACACGTTGCTAAGTCCATAATTAGAGCAAAACAAAGTTCGCAGTTAAATGTTATTCTTAGATGCGAGTGGGCATTTACGTACCCAGAACATTTTATCGCTTGGTTTGATTACATTACGAATATCGTTCAAGTCATTTAGCGAAAACGAAAAAATAGTAATTGTGCTGTGTTTTGTTGCAATACTTTCGCTATATTTATTTTCATAAAGTACGGTAAATGCTCAGAATGTGCAGGCAAAGAACATATGACGGTCACTGAACCATGTCAGCAATTTTATTATTCCAAATATATCCCTATTATTTAATTCTGCCTAATTTGTATTTTTTTATGGAATAGGAGGCAAACGAGCATGCGGATCACCTGATGGTAAGTGATCGGCGCCGCCCAAGGACACCTGCAACTCCAGAGGAATCACCAAAGGAGTCTTTTAAGGAGTACGCTCATTTCTTGAATGTTTGAAAGTCGTATCGGTTCGGGAATACCGTCGCCGGAAGATCATTCCAAAGTGTTGCTGTGCGGGGCTGAAAGTTTTTCGTAATCGTAAATCGCACAGTTGTTGACTGCTAACCATCTATGTGACGTGGATGAATATGCTTTCGCATAGAACGATGGCGAAAAGATGCGGCGGGGATCAAACCGAACAATTCCTCAGAACACTTCCCGTGATATATGCGATAGAGACAACACATCGCGAGGCTACAGCCCTACGCAGTGCCAAAGAGTCCAACCGGTCCGAGATAACAGGGCAGTCAACTATTTGGACACGTCACTGAATGCGACGTGATGATGATGAATTGATGCAAATCAAAAATTAATTTCAAACTGTGTCGATAAATTCGTCATCATTATTGGTCAGCCCACGATACAACATTCTTGTTTTGTACAGATAGTTCGCCTTGACTTTTCTATTGCTAAAGCGCCCTTTCTCTCATTGAATATGTAAGGATTTTCAAGTAGTTTGAGTAATGACTTAGATTATTACAATACTGGGCAAGTTAATTTTAAGGTGGACACTATCAAGCAAGTTGCTAGATAAAATCAAGACTGTTGACAAACAGGCTAGTTTCTGTAACTTGAGACTTGCCTATTTGGTTTACAAATTTAATAATAACTGAAAATACTTTCGAAAATAAGGAGCATGTTGCTGTGAATTATTAGAAATCAAGCCTCTGCCAACTTACACAAGCGTCGGTCTGTTGAGTAAAATATCTGGCAAGTAAAGAATTCGTTGTTACTTTACGATGTGTTTCCAGAAAACCCGTGTATAATCAGGTCTTTGTACTAAATTGTACTTAAACACACATTCAATTATTGTGTAAAGTGAAGAACACATTTAACTGAAAAGTAACAGAAAATTAATTGATTACTTTGAAACAATAACACATTCCAAATGAGTACAAACAATGAAGTTAACAGAAACGCTACACTACGTCACAAGCGTACGTGCCTAAACACAAAGAAATACTATTTACACATACATAAAGTGAATTTAAATTTTGGTGTGTCTCTCTCGTAGAGAATTCAATGTCAATTTGTTGCACAAATATGAAGGAGTCTGAAAAAGCGTTCACTTGAAAACTGAAAGAAAGAAAATGAAGACGATTTCATTTTCTTTCTATATAAGTATAATCTATACTAATGTTATAACGCTGAAAAGTTAGTTTGTTTGAACGCGCTAATCTCAGGAATTACTGGTTCGATTTGAAAAAATCGTTAGGCTATAAAACATCACTATAATATTTACAATAATTAGTCTTTTCGTTTTAACGAATACATAAAACCCGGGACCTCGAGATTAACTGTTAATAATCCCGAAACCACAAGATTTAAAACATAACTCATACTATCTCTGAATTTTCATAATATTGGAATATTGGGCATAATACGCTGTATCCGTTTTTACGTAAGTAAATAGAACTGTAATATTAGTATGTATTAACTCACTCGTTTGGTGCTGCCGTATATCTGTCCCCTGTACCATAGACCGAACCATTGATGGGCTGGGTCTTGGTCTTATCACTTGATCCATTCGCCATGGCCCCTTGTTTGTTCATTGTAAATCACTTTAAATTTTTTATTTTTATTTATAACACTACACACTATCCACAATTAAACACAACCACGTCTATTTAACCGCACACTATTCACATAAATTTTTACAATGTATTTAAATTCCAGCGAAATGTTTATATTCAGTCAGCAGTGACTACACAATAATTGCGTTCACACGTCTCTCATGATTCACTGCAATCGTTTTAGTGAAACGCAGGAAGCATTTGAGTGGATATCCTTGACAGTAACAAGGTTAAAGAGACCGGTCCTCACAACAACATGAGCTAGCGTTAGATTTTATATGACTTAAGTAGCTTACTCGCTGCAAGCAACGGCGCATGTTTTGTTTGCGAGACATTTGTGAGTTCGTAAACAATAGTTGTGCATCATTATCGTACGACTTACGACTATACATAATTACATATGTCTAATGATTCATTCACAGCACGACTTTGAAAGAAACTGGCTCCTTTGTGCCAATGCCCCAGTTTTTATATCGAAAAGACAATGTCAAATCATATCATCCTAGTAAATATTTTTTCGTTTGATACTGCGTTGAGTCTACCCAGGAAACTCTCAATTCAAATCAAAACGTTTTTACGTGTCTATTTTTGACCATATACTTATACATATATGTACTAAGCCGTATTAGCATTGCCAAACCGAACATTGAATCTACGGCAAACATGAGTAGTAAAAACAAATCGTGTCGAAACATTTGATAGCAATTTTTGAATCGCTTGATTCAAAATTATGGACTTAAATTAATGATAAAAATATTTGATCTATAACCATATCCCATTAATACTAGTTAATATCCTACTACTTTGTATATTGATGTCTGGATGAATATGTAAGCAAAAAAACACAATTGATCGGATCGACATGAAACTTGACACATAGATTATTATAGTTTGGAAACACAAATGTTCCACTTTCTATCCGGCAAACGTGGGCGAAGCCGGTGGCAGTATCTAGTAATTTCTAACGTCGGCTATCAATTTATGGTACCAGTAATATCTTTTCAATATCAGTAACATAGACAACGTAAACAAGATTTAATTTTATACAGAGCTAAAAGAGAATGATGCCAAATAATTTGACATAACTTCAGTGTGAAGCTACGATACGTTAACGATATACAATTTGGTTATCCAAATCCACAGGCTGAGTAAATCTATACAATAAATATTTAGAATATTATTACGATTTCCTCGTAATGATATGTGTTAGTAGCACACATAACATATGAAATTTTAGAAATCTTATGGGCAAATGTACTTATATTTTAAGTGCCTATACGATAAGAATGCAAATAAATACTTAGTCACTTCCTAACAATATGTGACTAACTTTATTTGTGTATGAGTAATGACAATAAACATTTACTAGTAATTTATAATTTCTTTGAAAAATTACCAATATTAAGATAAATCTTACCAATTAACTTTAATCATGCTTATACATGTTATACAAGCAAGTAATTATGCCTTATCTTTTAAAGTTGGCTACCTAATACTTAGTGTCGGAGATGGGGCTCAGAGTAGCTTAGGGCGCATGGGAGAGAGGATGCCAGGAAACGAATCAATATGATTCCAAGAACGAGTAGCTCGGCATCTAGATAGGCAACATTTCCTTATTTTGGACAATACGAGGACAAACTATACAAAACTACATAGCAATAATGCTATTGTACAAATTACGGCCAGGCCATACAAGTATGACGTGACACAAACGCAAAAATTATATCATCGATATGTTAGTCAATTATAGAAAAATAATGGTAGTTGTACACTTTCCATTTTACTAATACAGAAATCTGGGACGGTCAACAAACAAGTCAAACTGGTTAAGTAGTTTACACAACAAATAGAAATTCCGAATTAGTGTTAAACGCGCCGCATTAAGAGTGACTAGCCACCTACGCGATAAAATAACAACCTTGTTACTGTCGGAATATGTTTCATGTGAATGGTAATTATTATATCATAAATAGAACGGAAAACACTGCTGACAGTCAACCATACATGTAAAATAACACTGAAAGAAGTTCGACATTGAACCTCTAACTTGACAACACACCATACACAACAGGTAAACGTCACGTATCAAAAATCGCGACGATAACAGAATAGTATCAATTAGAGTTTATGTGCGTGCGATATGGATCGGCGAGGGCGTCGCGTATACTGACGCTCTATCGGAGTCGACGGTCGGCTATACATTTAAGGCCCCACAGTACAATCACTTCCCCCGCGGCCACAGCTAACAGCTGATTCGCCAACTTCAGTAGCTAGTAAGCACAACATACGAACCGTTTATCATGAATTAACTATAGCTGCTACTCAAAATAAGTTATAAAAATTACACATGTCATTTTAAATCGTTACTAACTCTTATTTTTTTAATGGCTATTTCACAAATAAACTGATGATGTGAACGAGTGAACCTATGAGAGATCTCGGGAACTTAATTAAATCTTGCAACTGATTTATTTGTTCAAAAGTAGAGATCGTCAATCATTTGAGCTATAGCAAAACTACAGTACTTAAGACATATAAAAGTCTTAATAGTATACTAATCCCATGAGGTGTCCTCATAATGCGGGGCGGTTGATCTCAGTTATAAGGTTTAACTTCTAGAAGCACTTTAATGAAGATGAAGAGGGTGCACGAAACAGATATTTTTTACGTGGTAGGATTGCAAACAAGTATTATAATATTGTTCCTTATGGATTTCTGCAACACCAGGGCATTGCCTGCCTTTTGAATAGCATTGGGCCTTCGGTAACCTCACGCACCCGTCTGCATACAACGGTAAAGGTGTTTCACGCCATATTTGGTCGATCTGGCACACTCATTCTTCATTTCATTGAGGTATGTATGTATGTATGTAAACAATCTAGTGAAATTTATGTCCTTGTGAAAATCACGTTAGACATACGTAAAGTCGGAAAGTTGGAAGAGTATAAGTGAAAAATGTGAACAGCAAATGATAAAATGTTCGAGTTTGGACTCGTTCATTGCTTTTTTACCATGATGAATTTATACTCTCGTTTTCAAGGGATATTCTAGGTATTCATGACAGCTTTAAAATATAGAGATTCGAATTGCACAGCTTTCAATCGACTGTAACCTATGATAACATGTGTTTAAAGAAAATAAAAATACGTATACGTGTACCTACTAATATTATTCCAAATTAAATGAAATATGACGATGTCAATGGACCAATAGTTCCGTTTTCTTTTTTATTAGGTAATTTTTCTGTCCCACACTAGTATTTTCTCCTGTATCATGGACATGGACATACTTAGACACGACATACGACACCCTAACCGTTGTTAAGTATATGGGTGGTAAAGCATAACGCACAAACAGACAGATTTTTTGTATTTCAATCTTATAATACATAATACGATACAAGATACATTAAGAGATTTTTTTAATAAAAAAGCGGAATTATGTTTTTTGCCGCCACGGTAAATGCTCAAGTTTTGACCATTTTGGCTATGAGATAAGCGTAGTTAATAAGACCTTTGATCCTCACAAAAAAAACGTAATAATTCATTGTCGAGCCGTGGGTGGTAGTCGGATTTGATCTATTTACTCTAAATTCATCCGCTTTTAAGTCTAGCAATTTTTTTTATACCGAAGAAAATAATATGATTTGTACCTATGTTTTTATTTATACATATAGTATGTGCAATGTGGAAAAAATAGTAAAGTAACATAATAACTAATTTAATCGAGGACAATAAACAAATACCAATTCTTATTTAAAAAGTTATATTCTGTTAAAAATTGATATTAAAATATGCACTTAAAAGTAATTTGTAGATTAACATACGATCAAACAAATTGCTTAGTTGAAAACAAACAAAAAGTAGGGTCTAAGGAGTTATTTTATCTGCTAAAACTGTCAAAGACTGCAGTTGAAGCAACACTGCTTATGAAGCCCATAGAATAGGTACGATTGTTGGATTACTTTTACAATTAATTTAGTAAAAAAAAAAGTTGATACATACCTGTGCTCAAGGTCTCTTTTATCGAGTAAGGCTGTATGCATCGTGTTAAATGATACTGCAATACTATCGAGTTCAACATCGCCTCGCGCCAAGGGCTTGTCTACACCGACCTCTGATTTATCGGGTATCTCAACGGCCTCATCGCCAAGAAAAGTTACTACTGGCTTTTTATTCTTTGAAGAAGAATTGGCGCGTGCTCGCAATTCTTCCGGGTTTAGAGGTGGTGAGAGAGGATAAGCACTTTCAAACGCGTCGGGCATTTTTTTTTATTGTAATGTAATACCACGATAAGTCAATCTAGTTCCGATGCTAAAATACAACTGGCGTCATCAGAATAACACTGAAAACAAGTAGACGATAAAGATAACCTCGCGAGATGATAACTCTTGACCGGGCCAACGAGTGATGTAAATATTAAGTTAGAATACTGTGTGTTTGTTTAAAACCTTGCAATAAGCAATTGATAGAATAAATAAATAACCGTATTTTAGGAACAATTGTTTTCGACTTGCTTCCTTCCTATTTACTAATAATCGCGTGTATAGTTTATTGCGTAGATAGATCCACACCTACCCAAAAAAAATAATTGGATTATGTACTACGCAAATGTACATAATGTACGAGTATTATACCTATCGCTAATACATATAAATAGAACGAAACAAAGACGTGATCTCTGCTCAAGCAACCAAGAGATAAGGACTTTATCACACCTGTTAGCAGATGAAACAATAGTAACCAGTCTAACATTTGCTAGGTAGTTCAGAGATATTATCATGTCTTGAATTCATGATTCATAATTGATGTTACTGAAGGTTGTATTTTAAACTATGTAATTAGTTCCATGGAAAGTCAAGATTTAATTAAGTTGACTACGATAAAATAGCTTGGTTATAAATGTTTACTTTAATTTCCCATTTGTGTCTCATATTTATGTGCAAGTATATGTACAAAGTCAATATTTCATTGAAGAATAGCTTGAAATTCCTCAATAAAATTAACAATCAACATATTTGAGATAATAAAGAGTATAATGTTCGAAAAATCTGTTTGAAGAGCAACTACATTAATATGGTTATTTGTTTGATTTACAATACCAAAAAGCTATCAGGTATATAGGCTTATTAAATTTATCCAACCAAGTGACAAATAGACGAAAATGCTAAAATATTCCTGGCCCAAAGCACAATAAATTATATTTTGACATGTATATTAGTATGTGTAGTGTATACATACACTATGCAATTACCTTTATGTTATACTTCCCAAAATAATTATGAGTGTAAAAGTAGTGTAAAATATTCATACCTATGTTCAGCACGGCGATAGTATTTCTTTGGAAGTTTCTGATTTTCAGGGTTTACTTCACATTTCTTGGTAATGCTCTCCATAATTATGTTGTGGTATGTCGACTTGTTCCTTAATAAATTTAAACTTAAAGAAAAGAATCTTATAGTTTGATGTCTTCTTAAAGTAATATTCAGTAACTTGTGGCCGTTCATGCAGGATTGTATTTCTTAACTATAACTTTTTATCCTGAAAAAGAAATGCTTGGATAAATATACATTATAAAAATATTTAATGAGCTTACATGCAACATTTGCAGCAACAGAAATTATTTTATTTTTACTGTGATTGTGAGGTAGTTTGCGAAAAAATAAAAAGTGATAGAATTTTAATTTAAACATGGTAGTATGCAATAGTAAAATCATTCAGTTCCATTTAGCTACAATAAAGAAATTGAGGAGAAACCCAACATTTGTTTAACTTATATGATGCAGATCTTACGAGGCATGGCACCATAGCACATAAATAATATGTCAATTGATTAGTGCCCTGTTTTCTACCCTTCAATTTGATATTCATAAGTAACAACTCATTTTAAATCAATATTGACAGAAAAGAAAATTCTGAAATCTTTAATCACTAACACATAATCAGTTCTCATAGGTATTATGTATTGTCATGGTCACACAGAAGTATGATTTAGCTTTTTAATAATTATGGATAGTTTGCTACAGGTTTCAGCTATTTCGATAGATCTCGATAATGATATGTCATGTAATAAAATTCCTCAATTTCCAAAAAAAAAAAAAAATTCTAGAACTCGACGTTGAATAACCGCATTAAAAAAAGAACTCACACGCCATCAACTTGCACACAAACCAAAACATAATTAAGTACAATACACCATTAAAAATGAAGCATGTGTTAGATAACCGCTAAACACCTCACGAAAATAATTTAGTAAAGAGTATGAAACATTATCCACAAAACATAAAAACGACACAGAATCAGTTCACACAACTAATAAATAAATCTTCTAGTGCCAAACACTAATTTTAGCGCAGAAATATAAATAAACTTCTTTGAACTACTCACAAGCCACTGAATTTAATAATTTCTTTAATATAATGCAATCCAATTAGCAATATTTTATAAACAGTGCACTCATATATTTAGATACTAAATGAAAATTGACTTTATTTAATAATAATCAGAATCGCTGATCAAAATATCAAATAGTGCAATTCCTATTCTTTGTAGCAAAAAATTTAACCGTATCGGTTGGTGCATTAGGTACATTCAGTTTCAGACTTTTTCAGCACTGCTTGCCTCTTACATAAATAAATAAATATATACCTATGCGAAATGCGACACAGTTTATATAACGAAAACGATCTTGACAGTTTGTTGACAGTGCTGAGTGTCAAGTTGAAAAAAAAACTATTTAGTACATCTATGGTAAAGTTTTGATTTCAATTTACATAAAGTCTCCGTGCCTCTCGGTAAAAATCACATTTTTTATTACTATTCCGAACTGGCCTTTGGGTCTGTTAGACTGAGGAGAAAAACATCAAATGAATGACTTCTCCCGCCCAGCGAGGTCGAGCGGGAGGGACTGTCAGGCTCTTATTGACTAAAAACTCCCTGTTCCTTCTCCTGCTCTATGCCAAGACCGCGTAAGCACAATGCGCTTAGACAACTTAGTTCTCTATATAATATCTTTGCATTGCGCTTACCCCGCAACCCTGGCGGTAAACCTCTATTACTTTTTACTTTACTCTTTGCGGTATCTTTGTCTATGTCTGTATCTATGTAATATATATAGTCTGTGGAAGCTGCAGCACAGCTTATAAAAGTTGGTTGAGTTTGACACATTTGACAAATATTTAATTTGACATATTAAAGGTTTATTGAAGTTAAAAATTGTGACGATTATTGTAAATATTATAGTTAAAATTCCATAAAATTTCGTGTGCATATCTTATTATTGATATCTGGTTCCTGTATTAACTATAAATGTAGAAATGGCTTATACCGAAAAGGTGTTATTAAGTGGGACCGCTCTGTCATTTCTATTTTATGAATGTGTTAACTCTGGCAGTAGTCAGGTACCCACTCAAATAATTTTCAAGATAATTTGTATTATTGTTTTATGTGTCTGTAACTTAATCTTATTCGTTTATTTACAGGAAGGATTCCTAATTGGCGACGTGACTTCAGAAATAACTAACCATATTTCTGACACCCAAAGTGATAACACCCGTCTTGACACTCAAATTAATATAAAAACAGTACTCCCGCTACCGTCAGTATCACTGTTTTATTTACCTACAGGCAGAATAAAGGAAGACATCCTCTCTGATTTGTTAGCTAGCACTGCCAGTGAAATTGTAGGTTGGTACAAATATAGGAAAAATGCAAACATTAAACCTACGTTTAGGGATAAATTAATATCAAAAGGATTACAAAAGTACTTTGAAAAGTATCATGGGAAGAAAAACTTTGTCTCATGTAGTATATCAAATAAGGCATCATCTTCTGGATCTACTCACACTTTTATGTACAGATTTGGGAAAATAAATTGTTTTGATATGTATGAATACATTGAAGATGTAACAGCAAATTTAGGTGAAAAATACACAGGATACAAGAAAGCACAAAAGTCACCACCTCACAGTATTTTTAGTAAAATTGTAAAGGATAGTAAAGTGCAGGTCAACAATACAAGTGATGCAATATTAACTATTCAAGAAGCTGTAGATGCAAAGCTGGTAAAGGAAGCTAAAATTGCTGCAAAAAATGAATGTACCATCCGAGAACTAGAAGCAGAAATTAAGCAAATGGCTACTATTTTATCAGATAAGCAGTCATTTGAATTACAAACTACATACAACAAGTACATAGAGGAGAAAGCCCTCAACAGGGAAGCTGAAATGGCTAAAGCTTGTATAGAGGCATTAAAAATTCCTTTAAAAGTAGATATATTGAATGCTAAAAATGTTCCCAGAAACACTAATAATATGGACTCTGAAGATTCAGTGCAGTTAATTGAGAATTTAAGTGGTTTAAGTCCTCCGTTACTACAAGCAAGTTCATCTAAACAAGGACTCAATTATGCTGCTGCTTTAAAAAGCAAAAATGAAACAGCATCTACTAGTGTAAGTTTTAAAAACAATAGTTATTTAACATTCCAATCTGGGTAATTTTAGACACCATAGACCAACAATAGGTGTTTAAACCCCGGAGTTCATTGGGGGTTTGAGTAGTTAAAGTCTTACACCTTTTTATTCTGAAAAGTACTATGCACTGAAGTCCTAAACAAATACTCAGAAGTCATATTTGCAATAAGCAGTCATCAGTTTTAGTTAACTTCAAAATTCTAAAGTATAAATATTAATTACTTTTATTTTGATTGCAGAAGGAACAAAATCACAGTGATGATTTGATTATCTTTGATGTTGAAGACAACCATGTGAATAAGACTGTGAAAGTGAATGAAGAAATAAACTGTGGTGATAGTTCACCGGAATATTAACAAGTGCCTTTATAACTTAAGTTTTTATGTAAATGTAGAATAAGTATACCTTAGAAGTAAATCTTGTAACTGTTCTATCTCTTGTTTGTTACTAATAATACTCAGAATGTTTTGTAAAGATTAACCTATTGTATACATTATAATTCTTCAATGCACATTGTTTATGTTTAATGCCGACAGGCATGTATTGCTGTATGCACTTCTTGTTGTTGTTTTATCACATTTACTTAAATCTATGTTAAGTTACTATATGCTGGGTGCATTGGGTTATTGACTTAAATATTTTTCTACTTACTTATATTGTTCCGTTTTAAACTTATTGTTAGGATGGCATAAAAACAAATGTAAATAAAACAGTTGAGCCATTTCTATGCTACATTTTATTTCGTTGTGCAAACATTTAATTGTATAGGTTGTGTGCTCAACAAATAATATTCCTGGTTACTATTAAGGAATCAAATGTGTATAGACTATATATTCAAGCAAAATAGAACTTTTATTATACTTAAATTCATGTATCTCAATATTTTAGTAAAATGTCAGTAAAAAGAATTATCCCAGTTTTCTAATAAATATTTTATTTTTCAATCATATAAACATGGCACATTAACACATAACAAATTATAAATTAAATTACAGTTATAAACAAATTCTTTTGTACATGAAAAGGATTTGTTGGAGTATTAATTTTATAATAAAAACTGTATGATCAAGCAAATCTCCATCACTTCCATACTTAATTTTTTTTATTGCACAAAAAATAAAACAGTGTAAATATAATTATGTATCAATTACGTCTATGACGTAAATGGGAATGTTTTGACTGGAATGTCATTAACAACAATATTATAATTTTAAGCTATTTTTGGAATGCCTTTTACCAATCAACTAAGTGGTTATTATTATATCAACCAGATTGGGACTGTATAATTATCTATATTTTGGTTGGTATTCTTCTGGATAATTGCTCAGATTTCAGGATTCTGCTTTTGTACAAGTAGCAAAAAGGTTTGAACATTTGAATAAAAAGACAGAGAAGAGTAGCTAATGCTAATATAGTACTGATAAAAGTCAATATATAGTTAAATATATGGTCTATTAAAAGTCTTTTCATAAATACAATTTGAAAGGTTGTGATAATCCTTATCAATCATATTTTCATACTATGTCAATAAACAGACTAGCGTAATCTACTTCAAATAACAGCAAAGTACACTTAATTACTAAGTACAGCTATAAATGAAAATTTCATAGTGATACAAAACAAATTTTTAGACAGACGATTTACTACACTCCAATAACTCTTTAGAATTACTAGTACTTATAAAGGTCATAATATTAGTTCATAACTTGTAGATAAAGGGAATTCATAAGCTACCTAATATTCTAATAAATTATCTAGGAAATTGTTTGGCAGTAATACGATTTAATTCTACAATATCGTGGCAAGACATGGTAAGTATATGAGAAAAGTTCTTGACAATTTTTCAAAATTTATAGCAGATCGGCTGCGCCCGTACCAATTTCTCCGGCTAATTCGTGCACGGAGTGGGCGAGCCGTCGCGCCTGCTGTACTGCAGTAGATGCCGGTAACAGGCCCAAGTGGATACAAATCAGTTCCTTCACTGTAATGCCGCGGGAGTCACCCGGGAACGCCAGCTCTGTTAGTTGCCTGCAACATAATTAGCAGTTAGCGTGCAATAGTATACACCCAAGCGCGTTATCACATTCGTCTCCTATTCGGGTAGGTATGCAATAATACCCCAGTTCCAGTGCCGGCCTCCGAGGGAAGTGCCATGAACACCCACTAATGGCTGGACATCGTCGACGTGTTCTACAGGCAAACACCAACCACTGCAGAGCGGCCCAGGACCTGCTGGTCCAAACCCTTGCGGAGTGGTTGGTGGATGTGGCGGTTGTCGCCGAGCCGTACTCTGTCCCTGGCAGCTGGCTGGGTGACGATAGCGGTTCGGTTGCACTGGTGACGCGGTCTTCCACGGACTCCCCTCCTCTCTCGCTCTTAGAGAGGGGACCGGGATACGTGGCCGCCGCGTGGGGAGACATAGCCCTCGTAGGGGTGTATTTCTCCCCAAACCGCCCTCTCTCGGAGTTCGAGAACTTCCTAGACCTTCTCGGCAGTGTGGCAGATAGAGTGGCGCAGCGGCGGGTCCTTGTCGTGGGCGACTTTAACGCCAAGTCAGTGTCATGGGGCAACCCGACTACCGACGCACGAGGACGCGAGGTGGAGACCTGGTCCGTTTCGTCCGGTCTGTCCCTTCTCAACAGAGGCACAGTCCACACCTGCGTGCGGCGGGAGAGGGGCTCCATCGTGGACCTCGCCTTCGCCTCCCCTTCTTTGGCGGCCTGCGTAGTAGACTGGCGGGTGGAGCGGATGGAGACTTTGTCCGACCACCGATATGTACGGTTCGACATCTCCACCCAGGGCTCTCCTAGGGCGCGCGAGGGTCGGTCGCATTTCCCGCGGTGGGCGCTTACCCGCCTGGACCGGGAAGCTGCAGCGGAGGCGGCGTTCGTCCAGGACTGGCTGTCGCCTCCTGTTGACGCCCACGATGTGTCCACGACGGCAGTTCAGTTGAGGGACTCCCTGACCGAGGTGTGCAACTCTAGTATGCCTCGGTCCCACCGTCCGCCTCCTCGACGCGCCGTCTACTGGTGGTCACAGGAGTTGGCGGAGCTACGGGCCGCATGTGTGAGGGCCAGGCGGGCTTACACAAGGAGCCGGCGGCGGCGCCTCCGCGACCTAGCCAACGAGGACCGCCTTTACGCGGCCTATGTGGAGGCAAAGAGGGAGCTGACGGCCCAAGTGGGCGCAGCACAGGATCGCGCGAGGGAGGAGATGGCTGACGGCCTAGACGCTGATCCCTTTGGCAGGCCGTACAGAGCGGCGCGCAATAAACTGCGCCCGTACGGCCCTCCATTGTCGGAGACCCTTGAGCCGTCGTTGCTGGATGGGGTGGTCCAGTCCCTGTTTCCGCGCAGGGACAGCAACTTCGCTCCGCCAGTCATGAGCGGCACGCGGGCTGTGTATTCGGCTGACGAGGAGGTCCCTCCAGTGACGGAGGAAGAGTTGGAGAGGGCGGCCTTCTGCCTCCGAGGGAAGAAGACGGCCCCAGGTCCGGACGGCGTCCCCGCAAAGGTGGTGGCCATCGCTGCCACACAGATGGGGGAAAGGTTTCGGGACCTCTTCAGTGCTTGCCTGACTTGTGAGAGGTTCCCGAAGCCTTGGAAGGAGGGCCAATTGTGCCTCCTTCGGAAGGAAGGGCGGCCGGTTGACTCCCCATCGGCGTACCGACCCATCGTTTTGCTTGATGAGGTCGGTAAAATGTTCGAGCGGATCGTCGCCACCCGCATCAACCAGCACTTGTGCACGATTGGCCCGGACCTAGCGGACGCCCAGTTCGGTTTTCGAGCTGAGCGCTCGACAGTGGACGCCCTCTCCCGACTCAAGGGGCAGGCGAGGGAGGCGATGGATGCGGGGGATGGATTGTTGGCGGTGTCATTCGACATATCCAACGCCTTCAACTCCATTCCCCACTCCACCATCCTAGAGGCGCTCCGCTTCCATGGGGTGCCTCTGTATTTACGGGCACTCTTGGCGGACTACCTGAGGGACCGCACTGTCCTTCTGGTGGACAAGTCTGGCCAGCTGCGAAGATACGGCGTCGAGTCCGGTGTTCCGCAGGGCTCTGTTCTAGGACCACTCCTGTGGAACATCGGGTTCGACTGGCTCTTGCGGGGCAACCTCCCTCGTGGCACGTCTGTCATCTGCTACGCAGACGACACGCTCCTTACTGCCCGGGGGAGGAATTTCGGAGAGGCGGCCAGCTTGGCCTCGGCGGGCGGTTCACAGGTGGTGGAGAGAGTCTCCCGCCTTGGGTTGACGGTGGCGCTGCACAAGACCGAAGCCGTGTTTTTCCATGGGCCCCGGCAGCGTCAACCGCCCGACGCCCATATCTATGTAGAGGGTGTCCGCATTGGGGTGCAGGCCCAGATGAAGTACCTGGGCCTAGTCCTTGATAGTAAGTGGCGCTTCAGCGCACACTTCAGTGGGCTGTCGACGCGCTTATTGAGGACTGCGGGCGCCCTCTCGTGGCTCCTCCCTAACCTCGGGAGACCCGGCGACCAATGCCGGCGTTTATACGCCGGCATTCTCAAGAGCATGGCCCTATATGGGGCACCTATCTGGGCGGACTCACTGTGCAGACGGGAGAACGTCGCCGCCATCCGCAGGCCACAAAGGGCCATTGCACAGCGGGTGGCGAGGGCATATCGCACAGTGGGTTTCGCGGCGGCGTACGCTCTGGCAGGAACTCCTCCTTGGGAACTCGAGGCTTGGGTCCTCGCCAGGGTGTACGACTGGACGGCAGAGCAGAGGGCGCTCAACCGTTCCCCGTGTCCAAGGGAACGGGAAAATGTGCGGGATGAGGTTAGGGAGGCAATCACCCGGCACTGGGCTGAAGATCTAGCCTCCGCAACGTTCGGCCTACGGACACTGGAAGCCATCGGGCCCGTCTTGAATGACTGGGTCGATCGGCAGCACGGCTGCCTGTCTTTTCGTCTGGTGCAGGTACTGTCCGGGCATGGTTGCTTCGGGTCGTACCTGCACAGAATTGGGAGGGAAGAATCGCCACAATGCCACCACTGTGGCGCCGCGGTGGATACTGCAGAGCACACCCTAGAGGTGTGCCCATCGTGGGATGAACCCCGCCGCGCCTTGGTGGCAGTGGTCGGGGACGACCTCTCACTTCCCAGCATAATAACATCCATGCTGGGGAGTGAGGAGGCATGAGCAGCGGTGGCCTCCTTCTGTGAGGACGTCATGTCACAGAAGGAGGCGGCGGAGCGCATGCGGGAAGAAGATCCTCTCGCAGCGCCGCTCCGCCAGCGAAGAAGGGGCGGACGAAGACGGCGTACACAACGTCCGTCGTCACCTGCTCCAGGGGGTGATCAGCGGGCGACAAGCGCGGGGGCGCAAGCGCCTGCATCGCACGAATCACCCGTGCTCCGGCCATCATAAAGGCTCCTCCCTGCTAGGGGGGATTTGAGGGGCCTGCCATGAGGCGGGCAGTCGCCGGTGGGGGCCTGGACGACATGGATTCCCAGACCCCCTCCACTCAGGCGAGGTCGGAGTGCCACTGGGTTTTTTAGTGGGTATACCGGGAACGACTTTACCGGGGAGTCCCACATAACCCTCTCCCGTCCCCCGACGGGAAGGGTATGCGTAATAGCATTTATCCCAGGGCCGCAAAAAAAAAAAAACAAAAAGGTATGCAATAATAAACAAAGTGAAAGTGGTGGACAAGAAACGCAAGACCATGAAACTAACTTGTAATTAGTAAGTCCTAAGAA